TTAGCTTTTCTATTTATTTTTTTTCTTTTCTAGTACTTTTTTTACTTGTAATTATATTATAAGCCACCCCGAATCACTATAGATGGGCAGCCTCTGTAGTGAGATGGGCAGCATAAAAGCATAATAAATAAAAAAATAAATGTATAAACAATTGTATGGTATACTATGGACATATCATATATTCCTCTGTATATAAACTTATAGTATAAAGAATTTCCCCCCATAAAAATATAGAAACAAAGATATTACCTTGAAAAGTGGGAAAAACAAAAAGGACTATATATTATGATGGATACACTGAAATATATTGTTTGAATGAAAAACAAAATATGCTTCAATTTGTCTTCCACAAAGAGAATTCTACCTTGATTAAAAAAAAGTATTGCATAAAACATGACAGAGAACATACATTATCTGAAATGCTACAATGATTATAATATTAAAATCTAATAAGAACTAAACTTAAAGAAAGAAAAGAAAATAGGCAGGAGTAAAAAATAAAGGAAAAAGAGAAAAAAAGAAGAAAAAGAAAGGTAAGAATATACTAAAGAAAAAGAAATATATAAAAAAGTGACTTGCAACCTTTATTTCAACAAGTATAAATTCTTCTCTCTCTCTAAAGTTACATTTATCTCTTCATCCCAAAGTCCATCTTATCTATAAATAAATCCATAAAGCATCATCCTTTCAGTCCTGGTCTCTCTCAAGGATAAAATAAAATATGTTGTTACTTCTAGCAACCTCTAGCAACCCTTTATAGACTCATAAAGGGTTGCTACAAATAACAACATATCTTATTTTATCCTTGCTCTATATACCAACTTTATATTCCTTCCTTTTATTTATAAGGGTTGCTAAAAGTAACAACATATTTTATCCGTGATCAGATGTACCAACTTTATATTGCTTCCTTTTATTTCTAATAGTCTTAATTTTTAGTTTATTCAAATATTGTTTTAAGATTGGACTTCTCTTCATTTCTTCTTTGTCCCATTGCATAGTCTTCTAAACAAGCCTCTTTTGAAAATCCAAAACCAATTTTTATTCTAGACCCTTTTTAAAATCATTATCTTGGCCTAAGAGGTATATATCTACTTTTGATATCATCTCTATATTGTCAGATAACTTTTGTTCTACATCTGACTTTTCTTCACTGATATATTTTAAATATAGCATATCCATGAAACAGACATCATTACTCTTTGTTGATATTACTCTTTGTTGATATTATTATGGTATTATTTTCTGATTCTTCAAAAGTCTCTTCTAGTAGTTTTATTGTCATTACAATTTGCACCATCTTGCATATCTTTCTTCTATCTAAAATCTTTAGTCTCCCTTAGTGTCCAGTTTTTCAAATCATAAAATTCTTTATCAATATGTTGTAAAAACCTAAACAGAATCAATTTCCCAGGAGAAACTGTTTGTATTTTGTAATTAATTCCATAATCTTATTCTAAAAGTTTCAATATTCTAATTTTATCTGGACCCTTAGTCTATGTATTGCTTTATCAGAACAAAATAGTTTCCTGTTTATTTCAGATTCTTTAAATTATTACACTTATAAAGCAGTTGCTCTGCTTTTGTGGAGCTCTCTTCAGTTCACCATATTCCCACATATGCAATATCACTGTTTTAAGTGAAAAAGATAAGATACTTTTCTGAGTATTTTATGTCTGCTGTTTTGAAAATCCCAAAATATCAGAAATGAAAATCAAATCAGGTATTAATGTTGGTTAAACAAAGATATCTCATGCATGCTTCAATTTATCAGTGGCATGGTTCTGTGAGGGAAATGATCTTTACAAAAATTATTTGACACACATATAACAATTAAGCATATAGGAACTATTTTTCCATTACATCTGTACTCATCATAGTACAAAACATAGATTACAACTCTCACCATGAAGTGAGAATGAACCTTGCATCACCCATTAGAACTTTCATAAATCAAATCTGATCACATCATTTGAGTCAAAGACAAATCAGCCTTAAATCTCAGTGTCAACTTTGAAAATGAGCATGGTTGTGGCCATTTTCCCTATTCATTTTCGGTTGACACATTGAAAGGGGGTGGGGGGATTGCCAAGTGCTTCACTAGTCAAAATAACCTTTTGTCCCATGGGAACCAAGGTCATTGGCTGCTCCCGAGACTGCTGGCTGGGCGTTTCATGAAAAGCGCAAGAAGATGTATTGGAGAACGTAGTTGCTTGATAGCTTTAGAGATGGGATTTCTTAACTTTGTATTGGGAAATTGTTACATGTGTCTTCAGACTTGGTTTTACTTTTGACGTGCTGATACTTTGTAACTAATAAACATTTTCTTTGAGGAATTTCCAAGCCTCAGAGTTCTGCTTTTTTTGTCTCTCTCTGTTGGAGCCATGACACTCAGACTGTGTGTAATCTCTCTAACCTTAAACATTTGTCCACAACTGTGAACGCTGGATTTCAACAATTTGATGAACCACTTTACAGCATAAAAATAAATATTATCACTTTGTACTAATTCAAACCAATGTCCTGTTAATAAAAATTCTGGATGAGCAAGCAAAACATTCCACTGGCCATGCAAATTTTCATGAAATTCAGTACTTTTTGTTACTTGGTGTGTATGTGTGTTCCTGTGTTATTATACTGTGGGTGTTAATAAAACTTACTCAATAGTGAGGTCAGCAGCATATAAATTTAGTAAGTAAGTAAATAAATAAAATACGTCGCCTTGCGGCCTTTAGCTGCCTAATCCTGCTTTCTAACATGCTAACAGAAATTTTGCTCAATGCTACCATAGTATAAAATCCTAGTGTAAAATCTATATAATAAGGCAATGGGAACCAATTCCCTAAACATGGCATGAAAGAGTATTCAATTAATGCTTTTGTTCTCAGACATTAAAGTGTGCTGCTTTGGCAACTGTAGGTTGGTAGGTTTTCAGAATAATTGCTGCCAGACAGATGGTTAAATGACACACAGCTTAATACTGTGCCTATTCACTCGGAACCAAATCCATCAGATTTGGTGAGACTTCTGCTGCAAGACAGTGTGTTCTGGAGAATGCAGAATATCGGCAGATTGAAAAGAGGGCATTTTGATCAACAGAATAATCTCCTTCTAGGTGGGTACTAATATCACTGCATGTAATAACAAATGTTTCCTAAATTCCTATTCCAGTTTCTCTGTTATTTTACAAACATATAAAAATTAATTTAGACAAAAATAAGAAACAGGAGTATGCAGCTAGAAGCCGAATACCTGTGAAACTCTGGTACTGGGATAATCCACTGGTTTTTTTTTCCTACTTACATTGGCTGGGTTGAGATGTTGCGTTAACACTGCCGCTGATTTAATCAGGCTTTATTGACTGGGTTCATAGAACTTACTAAAGCCATAAACCAGGGTTTACAAACTCACAGTAAGATTCATATATTACCTTAAGCCCAAATCAAGCAAAGCACTGTGACTTAGAACAATGTATGATTTAAGCCATTATAACCATAGGGCTCCATGGCAATGATGCCAAAATGGCAAAACTGGTGTCATGACATCAGTCTACAAGCTCTGCCCTTTTATGTCCCAATGTCCCAAAAGGTAAGTACCTAAGGAATGTAGTTTGCACTGTGATGTCATGTTCTGTCATTTTCCCCCTCCTGTATTTATAATGTTAAAAAAGAAGGGAAAAAATCCTTCCTAAAATTTCCAAAACAAACAGCATGCTATTTTCTGAGATAAAGGCTATACTCTTACAAAGAATAAATTTAAGAGCTTTAACCGATATAGTTGTTAGTGTTGAAAGACCAACTTCTAATACATTAAATTTTCAGGGTTCATAACAGCCAATGGGAAAATTATAAGAAAACTATGAAAGTAATGAAGAACACTGAAAGTCTGGCTCTAATGGATTTGGTAACATTATTGATTTTGTATTCTGGCATCACTCTTTCTCCTCAGCTTTTCAATTTAAAATGTAGGGATCGGTCAGAGTTCTTTTCTCTCACTTTCTCTCATTCTTTTTTTTGTGAATTTATTTGTGAGCAGATGTACGTGGTATTTCTGCGCAGTAACACAAAGCTTTGTAGAATCTAGAATCCATCATATGCAAGTACTTTTCAAGGTAGCTTTACTGATAAATGATGTCACCTATCTAGATAATGGCTGAATTCCCAGGAATCATGGGATAAAATCCATCGCAAAACCAGAGATTTTCAGTCCCCACACCTTTTGTTCAGGCAAATCTCAGTCTGAATCCAAGCCCATGGCAAAAAGTGGAAAGATATAAATCATATGACTGAATGAATTATCCTTGTTTATACCTACAGCAGCACACAGCATATAGCAGCAATCTGATTATAAGGTACTGTAGTCTTTGACTTATAACTGGTTACTTAGCGACCATTTGAAGTTCTGATGGCCCTATCTAAGGATACTTATGACCTGGATTCAAAGTTTGGATGGTCACCTCCCAGTTACGTGATCACATTTTGGGCACTCGGGAACTGGACTGATTTACAGCCATTTGCAACATTTTATTATGGTTTTGCCAAAAACCAGCATTTACTTCTGATTTTTGGAAAAAATGAGTCATAGAAAACCATAAGTTTGCTTAATGACTGTAGGGTTCATTTAATGACCACAGCAAAAAAAGTTCATAAAATCAGGTCAGTCACATAACTGATTTGCTTTATGACCATCATGAGTTACAACCATTAAGAGCAGGTTCCATTATGGTTGTAACTTGAGGATTGCTAATATCGGTCTTTATGGATGATGCAGCTCCCCTTTTAGCTGTGGTATCAATCAATTTGGCTATACTTTCTACATTATGCACAGAATTAAGTTCAAGACCAATGACAATCTTTCAAAAATCTAATCAGGAGTCATCCTGTACGACTCTTTGGAGAATGTGAGTGAACGTCAAGCACTTCCCTTCTGCTAAATTTAAAAAGAACACATAAGATACAAATGGAAGGGAAAAGGCCATAAAATACATACAAATGTTCAAATCTGTTTGCAGGTGTTTTATTGTTCTACATAAAGACTTCAAGTGACTCTTACTGTGCAGCAGAATTAGCTGGTTGATTCTGGGAAAGTTCCCGTTACATAATAATTCTGTTTTGTTTTTAAAAGAAATGTGTGGCAGCTGTTATACAGGCCTCATTATTGATATTTTTAGAATTATAAAGGAATGCTATTAATGAAATAAGTTAGATAGGATTTCGTTTGTCTGCAGCAGTCCTGGTGCATAGTGACAGAAGTGTGTGAAGGAATCAAAGAGGGCAGTTACCCCAGGTGGCACCAATCTAGAATTATTTTCTTGAAAAAAGTTACTAAATGATCATGGTAGTCAGGACAACAATGGAAAGATGGATGGCAAGCATCAAAAGAATATAAGAAGATGCTTGAATAAGTCTGTGTTTCCACCAAGTCTTGAGGCAGCAATGATGAGATGGGAAGTTCCAACCCCAAAGCATTCTGGGAAAACAAACAAATACAAGATTAGTTTACAGGATATACAGCAGTGTATCTCAACCTTGTCAACTTTAAGCTGGCTGGACTTCAACTCTCAGAATCCCCCCAGCCAGCAATGCTGGCTGAGGAATTCTGGGAGTTGACCTCCACACAGTTTAAAGTTGCCAAGATTGAGAAACACTGGTACAGGAGATAATTCTCTGGAAATTTAAAAGAGACAAGTACAGCCCCAGCATTTTTTAAAAAAATAGCTGTAGATTCTTGAGGCAGCACAAATGAGGATTTATTTTAATCAAGCCCATTAAAGAGGGACGTATTCTTTCTCAACTATGCCTAGTGGAGAGGACAGTGCTGTTTTTAAATCTAGGAAGGGTTCACATGCAAACAATAATTAGCGTAACATTTACCATTCAATATTTAGTTCCTGATTAGCATAACTTGTGATTCAGAATTTGAAGTCTGGAAACTATAGCACTTTTAACAGCAAAATACCTAAGCATTTCTTCTTTACCTTTATATCAGGAAGAAGCAATCTATGGTAATAATGAAACACTGCAGTGGCTTCCTTGGCTTTCAGTTGTTTGATATGCAGGGTAATTGCTCAACACACTTTTTCCAAGGCAAAATAAGAAGTGGCAAGTAGTCTTTACTGGCAACGGGGCAAGCAAAAAGTATAGCTCCGGCCTCAGTCTCAAGTTAATGGTATATGCAGAGGGTGAGCTTACAACTAGAAAATACTATAATGTGGTAGATTGCTTTTGTATCCCATTAACTGGACTGCTTTAGAAGAACAGAGATGTGATGATAACTAGACATGTGGTGGGGAAATGCAAAAGTTCCACATCTGGAGCATACCAGGTTGAAGAAAATAGTTATGGGTTCAATTTTAAGTTGAGGGTTTAGAAAAAGAGTTAATGGGGCCAAAAGGACATATTAAAGTGCCCTATTGATCAGCAGACCAAACTGCCAGTGTCAGGGAAATTGCACATAAGTGGCGGAGAATGACAAGGAAATAGCTCAGGACAACTTTAGCATTTGGGAAAATATATCTTTCTCTCCCTCTCTCTTCTCCACCAGATAGGAATGATTTAAGTAAGATTGGAATATGAACAGATGAGGAGGAAGAGGAAATCCAAGGTCTATCAGCTACTACAGACAAAGAGGTGCTTTCCTCTGGATAATTGATTGGGCAGTAATGAAATGCTTTTTGACATGCTTAAATTGTATGCTGAGCTTTATTTTCAAATAAACTCAAGCAGTACCAAGCCATCAATGATCTTCTGCATCAAAGAAAGCCAAACCCAGATCAGCACTGTCCACCCAAAACCTTCTCACCACTTGGGAGATCTAGTGTGCAACCTATTGCTAAGTCAGATAACTGGATTAGCTGTTCAGACAAAAACCCAATTTTAATTAAACACCAGATCTATAGCTCAAATAACAGTACTGAAAGCATTACTACAGTGGAATACAGTATTAAACCTTGTCCTATAAGCTGCTATAAACTCATCAGGAATCATGGTTTCAAGGTGATAAGTCAATTAGTAAATAACTTCTTTAAATAAGTCTAAACCGCAATCATTTCCTTCTCAAAGAACTAAATATATATCCCCAGTGAATTAGTAGGATTAAATATATATCCCCAGTTAATTCCTATAACGGTTGAGCATGGTTTATTGAAGAAATTTTCTTGGCTGAGTTTATATATAAATGTACACCATACCCCAGAGTTTACAGATCACAGTGGTTAGCTTCAGATAATATGCCAAATGAAAGCCACACCATATTATGGGGCAAGTGTGAAGCAAGCCTTAATCCATTTAATTAATCCATGACACACTGGGGCCAGAGCTCAGATAGTAGACATGATTTGACAAATATATAATAATTCAAAAATTCCCTTCTCAGCCCTATGAGTTGTTTGTATCTTCCTCAATCTCGGGTCCTCTACCAGAGGCTTGGGACTTTGAGAGTTCTGCACAGCATCTTAGCTGTTCTTAGCACTGCACTCTTCTGGACAAAGAACTCTGATGTTGTCCATGGAATCTGATGGAGCCACTCAGCCAGCTTAAGAGTCACAGCTCCGAGTGATCTTACCACCACTCTGGGACCACTTTGGTCTTTATTTACCACATCCTCTCTATTTTCTCCATCTTTTCCTTTTTCCTGATGTTGCTGTCACTTAATACCATTACATCTATCACCACTGCTGTTTTCTGGTCTGATATACAGTGTATTAGAACCCTGAAACTCCCAGATCTCTAGTAAAGTACCTGAAATTGAAGAAGTTACATATTACTCATAGAAGTGAGAAGGGAATTTATATATCAGCACATGCTCACCTTCAGTCTAGGTGTTTGTCTTCTCAGTCAGTTCCAGTAAGAACTTGGTGACACTCTCTTTCATACTCCTGGGAGCTCCAAAGAATGGTATTTGTCATTGTGATAGTTTCATCTGTAGTCTCCTCCAATCCTATTTCACAGTTCATATTTCCATCTTTTTCATCTGAAGGGGTTTCTTCTGAAGGCTCCCCTATTCCTTCTTCTGAAGGCTCCCCTATTCCTTCTTCTGAAGGCTCTCCTGTTTCTTCTTCCGAAGGTTCTCCTGTTCCTTCTTCCGAAGGCTCTCCTGTTCCTTCTGAATGCTCCCCAGTTCCTTCTTCCTCACTGTTACTGCTCTCAATTATCTCCCTTTCTTCATCTACTACAACAGCAAAAAAATCTTCACTCGTGGCACACTCCTGAGTTGATTCGTCTTCTGCTGATCTTTCCACCGAAGGTTCTTCTTTATCTTTATCATTTTCATTGATCTGTGATACTTCTGTTATCAGTTGCTGTATCCCTATTAAGAGAGCTTCTTCTACATCTGCAAGTGTTATCATTCCTTCTCTCATCTCATCACATGTGTCTGATTCGTCCTGTTCCTTCTCCTCTTCAGGAGCTATGACTTCCTCCTGTACTTCCATGTAAAGAAATGTTTCCCTTGTTCCAGTCTTGTCAGATACTCCAGTTTGGACACTAGGTTCTTTTTTCATTTCTCCTCCAACGAATGCTTCTTTTTGTGGGGCTGATTCAGAAGTATGTTTTATTTCTGCTATAATCTCTTCTCTCCTGGTGACTAACCCTTGCTCTCCAAAGGTAGTTTCATTCAGAGATCCTATGACGACAGAAAGCACTTCTCCATTTGCTTCTGAATCTTCTGTTTCTTCTTCCCCCCGGAGTTTTGGTACAACTTTAACTTCTGCTTTCTCTTCAAATGCTACCTCAGTCTCTGGCGTTACAATTTTTGCCTTCTGTTCCAAGGCTACCTTGCCTTCTGCCTTCTTTTTAAGGGTCCTCTCAACTTCTGCATCTTCAGCTTCTAAATCCTTTCCAGCTATCACTTCAGACTCTGTTTCTATAGTTTCTCCTTTCCGCTTAAGTGTCATCTCGGCTTCTGCTTCTTCCGCACCTAACTCCCCTTTAGGCACCACCTTAACTTTGGCCTGTCCGGGTTCTGCCTTCCTTTTAAGTGTCCACTCAGGTTCTGCCTCTTTGACTTCTAATTCCTCTTTAGGTATCACATCAGCCTCTTCCTCTATAATTACTGCCTTCTGTTTAAGTGCTTTCTCTATTGCCTTTCCTTTAAATGTCAACTCAGCTTCTGCTTCTTCAACTTCTAATTCCCCTTTAGATACCACATCAGCCTCTGCCTCTCCAGTTTCAGGCTTCCATTTCAAGGCAACGTGGCTTTCTGCCCTCTTCCCCTCAGCTTCTGACCCTTCAACTTCTAATTTTCTTTCAGGTATCTTATCAAATTCTGCCTCTATAATTTCTGCTTTTCCCTTAAGTCTCACCTCAGCTTCTGCTTCTTCAGCATCTAACCACCTTTCTGGTACCATCTTAGCTTTGACCAGTCCAGGTTCTACCTCTCTTTTAAGTATCATTTCAGCTTCTGCTTCTTCAGCATATAACTCCTCTTTAGGTGTGACTTTAGCTTTGACCTGTCTAGTTTCTGCTTTCCATGCAACTGTCAACTCAGCTTCTCTTTTTTCAGCATCTAACTCCCCTTTAGGTGCCACCCTAGCTTTAACCTGTCCAGTCTCTGCTTTCCATCCAATTGTCACCTCAGCTTCTGCTTCTCCAGGATATAACTCTCCTTTAGGTACCAACCTAGCTTTAATTAGTCCAGTTTCTGCCTCTCTTTCAAATGACACCTCAGCTTCTGCTTCTTCAGCATATAAGTCTTCTTTAGGTACAATCTTAGCTTTGACCTGTCCAGTTTCTGCTTCCCTTTTAAATGTCACCTCAGTTTCTGCTTCTTCAGCATATAAGTCTCCTTTAGGTACCACCTTAGCTTTAACATGTCCAGTTTCTGCCTCTCTTTCAAATGACACCTCAGCTTCTGCTTTTTCAGCATATAACTCCCCTTCAGGTACCATTCTAGGTTTGACACGTCCAGGTTCTGCCTCTCTTTCAAATATCATCTCGGCTTCTGGTTCTTCAAGATATAACTCCCCTTCAGGTCCCATCTTAACTTTGATATGTCCAGGTTCTGCCTCTCTTTCAAGTGTCATCTCAGCTTCTACTTCTTCCGCATATAAGTCTTCTTTAGGTACCATCTTAGCTTTAACATATGCAGTTTCTGCCTCTCTTTCAAATGTTACCTCAGCTTCTGCTTCTTCAGCATATAACTCCCCTTCAGGTCCCACCTTAGCTTTGACACGTCCAGGTTCTGCCTGTCTTTCAGGTGTCATCTCAGCTTTTGCTTCTTCTGCATATAAGTCTCCTTTAGGTTCCATTTTAGCTTTGACACGTCCAATTTCTGCCTCTCTTTCAAGTGTCATCTCAGCTTCTGCTTCTTCAGCATATAAATCTCCTTTAGGTTCCATTTTAGCTTTGACACGTCCAATTTCTGCCTCTCTTTCAAGTGTCACCTCAGCTTCTGCTTCTTCAGCATATAAATCTCCTTTAGGTTCCATTTTAGCTTTGACACGTCCAATTTCTGCCTCTCTTTCAAGTATCATCTTAGCTTCTGCTTCTTTAGGATATAACTCCCCTTCAGGTCCCACCTTAGCTTTGACACGTCCAAGTTCTGCCCCTCTTTCAAGTGTCACCTCAGCTTCTGCTTCTTCAGCATATAAATCTCCTTTAGGTTCCATTTTAGCTTTGACACGTCGAATTTCTGCCTGTCTTTCAGGTGTCATCTCAGCTTCTGCTTCTTCAGCATATAAGTCTCCTTTAGGTGCCACCTTAGCTTTGACACGTCCAATTTCTGCCTCTCTTTCAAGTGTCATCTCAGCTTCTGCTTCTTCAGCATATAAGTCTCCTTTAGGTCCCATCTTAGCTTTGACATATCCAATTTCTGCTTCTCTTTCAAGTGTCACCTCAGCTTCTGCTTCTTCAGCATATAAGTCTCCTTTAGGTACCACCTTAGCTTTGACACGTGCAATTTCTGCCTCTCTTTCAAGTGTCATCTCAGCTTCTGCTTCTTCAGCATATAAGTCTCCTTTAGGTACCACCTTAGCTTTGTCACGTGCAATTTCTGCCTCACTTTCAAGTGTCATCTCAGCTTCTGCTTCTTCAGCATATAACTCTAGTTTAGGTTCCACCTTAGCTTTGATACGTCCAATTTCTTCCTCTCTTTCAAATGTCATTTCAGCTTCTGCTTTTTCAGTGTGTAAGTCTCCTTTAGGTTCCACTTTAGCTTTGACATGTCCTCTTTCTGCCTCCCCTTTAAGTGTCATATCAGCTTCTGCCTCTGTGACTTCTAACTCCTCCTCAAGTCCCACATCGACTTTAGCCTCTCCAGTTTCTACCTCCCTTTTAAGTGCCATGTCTCCTTCTGCTTCCCATGGATATTCCATTTTCTTTCCTATCTCTTCTTTTTCTACTTTTCGTTTAGTTTTAACTTCTGTCTCATCAGTTTCTGCCTCTTCTTTAAGTGCCATCTCAGCACCTCTCTCTTCAGATTCTGCCTTTCTTCCGGGTGTTTTTTGTTGTTCAATCATTTTCTGTCTTGGAGATAATCCTTTTACTTGTCCCTCTGCCTCTTCAACCCACATTTCTCCTTTTGCTTTTTCTTTCTTTGCTAATTCTTCCATCAGCACTGCCATAGATTCTAAGCCGGGTTCAATATAAAGCCCTTCTTTCTCCAAGTCCAGTTTCTCTTCTGGAGCTGCCATTTTGAACTTTAGCCTTTCTTCTGCTCCTCTTTCTACAGGTTGTACTACAGTCTTTTCTCCTTGGGCTGTTTGATCAATTGCCAAAATATCTTTTGCTCTTGCTTGTCTCTCTTTCTCTCTTTCAGAATATGGTTTGCCTGCTAACTTGTCTTCCTCAGTTATTTCAATTTCATGGTCGAGGAAGGCCTCTCCCACCAAAGGCTCTATTTTCTTGAGGGATAAATCTTCTGTAGATATGGCTTTCATCCCAGTCACATCTGGATATTCTTGGTATAAATCTTCATCCCATCTGGATGAAATTCCTTGGATTGTTTCTTCCATCTCAGATGGAACCTCTCTTCCACTAGTGATTGCCTTTTCTGCAGCAGCTGCTTTTTCATCTCCATAGAGAACATCTTCCACTTTTAATTGTGATGGTCTAAGTCCTGCTTCCAAAGGGGAAATGGGCCTCAATTCATATTTTCTCTCCTCATCTTCCCTCAAAAATGCCTCATCCTTTCTTTTCTTTTCCATTATGTCAGCTTTTTTTCCGGCCTCTGCTTTATGTTTTTTCTCTTGAAAAATTTCTTTGGATTCAGCTTCTCCTACCTTTTCTGGTCCCTTTCCAATACTGATCTTTTCTGCAGATGTTGTCTCCCAATCTTCAGCTGTCTCATATTTTCCTTTCATCTTTTCTTTTGCTTCAAGCCTGTCCTCTGTCTTAATTTTTTCTAATTCTCTTGTCTTTAAAGCTTTTGGTGCCTCAGTCACTTCTGCACCTTCTTCTCCCTCAAGGATCTGCCATCGCACATGTTCTTCTCTCTTTGCTGCTCTTGACTTCTCACTAATTTTGGCATCTTCAGTTTCTTCCCCTTCTGATCTGAATCCCCCTAAAACCTCCTCTCCGTCAGCAGCTTTATGTTTTATTGCCATTTCACCTGTTTTTGTCACGCTCTCAATTTTTTCATCCTTGGGGGTTATTTCTTTTTCTATACTGGCCAGGTCTGATTCTATGGGTTCTCTCTCCCATTCTCTTTTTCCTGCCAGAAATTCAGGTTTTACTCCCTGGTCTCCTCTAAGACTTGCTCTTTTGGGGGCTAGCAATTCTTCTGTTAGAGCTGCTTCTTTGGGGCCTTTACCAGCTACAAGCTCCTCTTCCTCAAGTATTCCTTCCTTGTCCATCATCTCTCTCTCTCTCTTCATTTGCTTTGTAGCCCTTTGCGATTCAGTCCTTCTTGATGGTTTTGCCAAGGAAACTTCATCTGGTGCTATTAAAATAAGCACAGTATGAGTTGTAATTGTGATAACTTTATCAGTGTGGCATTTTTAAAAAATACATTGACATATGTTTCTCCTGTCCTTGTTGGCCCAGCCATTTTGAATGGATAGCCATCAGTCACTTTGCTTCTTAGATTAACCTGAGAGCAACTGATTTGTGAAGGATGGTACAATATAATGGAAAATTGGACAAGTTAATTTTCTGGTCCCACATTATTCTACATAAGTCAAGAGAGAAGAGTATTCTGAAAACTTGCTCTTGTATGGTTCATTATTAGTCTACCTTACAAACTACCTGGTATTCCTCCTATACTACTAATTTTGCTGCTTCTTTTTACACAAAACATTGCCAGCAAAGCCTTCCTTTTCCAAGCAAACTAACTATTATAAAATATTAAAGAGTGGCCATATCACTGAAGTTGGACTACAAAAATGATAAATCAATTAGAAGTTCTCCACTGCAGAAAAGGTCCATAAAAAGGAAATAGTTGCAGAAAATTAAAAGTATAGAAATATAAAGGTTTTGCCCCCAAGATGGTGACAGATAATCTCTTTTCTCTCATGGACAAACAGCTGATTATGCAGCCAAACCTGCTCCCTAGATCTGAATGGGAGCATTAGGAACAACCAAGGACAACCCTAAGAAGATCATATATCTTTGCAGAAGAGGGATCTTGATGACCACAATTCTCAGTAGGAACAATCGGAGAATCAGGTCTTTTATCTTCCCTTCACTTTCACTTTTGCTCTAAGAAGTTGGTGGCGAATAACTTACTCTCTGGTAGTGAAAGCTATTTGATTGATTTGCATGCTTTTCTCTAATTGTGTTTTGGGTTTTTTTGTAAAATTCCCTTTTTCCTTTTTGGGAGTTTATATAGTTTTATTTTTCAAAAAGTTAAAATACAAAGAAAAAAGGAATATAAAGGTTCTGAAATGCATTAAATCAAACATTAAAGGTCAATGTGTACACACATATACATAGGAATGATATATCTTGAAAACAAGTGTGACCTTACATCAAAATAACTGGGAATTTATTTTAAAATCAAATACTTTAGACATTATATTCTAGACACTACAAAATAAGCCTGGTCTTAGTTGCTGAACTGAAATTATTGCCCACCTCCTCATGGCTTTGTGTCTATACTAATATAAGGATAAGGGGGAAAATGAGTGGATTAAATATCTGGTGTAATAATTTCTTTCCAAATATCCTAATATTTTGAAAAGCTTTCTAAAAATTGTAATGTTCTATACCTCCTGGATCTATCATAAAACAATTCCTCACTTTAAAAAATATATATATGTATAAATGTACATTTAGGTTCATATGAATATGAATATGACTTTTCATGTAGTTAAAACAAGTGAATTAAAAATGCAGATTAGTAGGAAGTGAGAAATAGCTATCTGGGACCAAGAACAGAGTGTCTGGGGGGGGGGTGTTTAAAAAGTTAAGATGAGGAACGCACAATAAAGCCCTGCCCCTTTTTATGTTTGTTGTGTGACCCTTTTTATGATTGCTCCTCTCTGCTTGATTTTTTTCACCCCTATGTATAAATGCACCCAACTTAGAAGCCTTATAACTACTTTCTAGAAATATCAGCAGAACAACATATGATCCACTAAGGAGGAATTGTGAGGAACAATAAAATATTCTGGTCTGGATGGGAATAAATGCCTCATCAGAATATATACAGAAAAATAGTGTTAAACCTATTTGAGAATAATGAACCCCAATTGATTTGGGATTTACTTTTCCCACTGATTTCAGTGAGAATTATGCAACAGGTAGTATAGGACTACATATAAACATAATGTTCAATGAATTTTGATAGGATTTTATTTTTGCCCAATTGTTTACACTACAGTCTTTTTACTTTAATTGGAACTACTGTACAAACTCTCAGTGTACTCATTATTAATTATGTTCAATAAATTATCTTCTAAAACCTTAAAAGATTAAAGAAAATATTATAATGGCATATATAAGGACACAGATTCTTATAGACCTTTCCAACCTGTATGCTTGCATAATTTAAGTACTTGGCACTAAAAACTGTTGAAATTGAAGTGCTGATAGCATTCATCTAGACCTTTATATTGTAGGTGACTTTCAACAAATAATCCAATCAAATAAGATATATCTTGGAATCAAAACTTGTTTCTTAGGGAACAGAGCTAAAGAAAGTGCTTATAATTCAGCCAGGAAAATAAAGGGGAAAAAAACACAGTATTATTAAGAAAATCTCCATTTGCCTTCTGACAAAATGGTTTATTGGAGCTGTAAAATTTGCATGGTATTGTATGACATGGAAGAAGGTATCTAAACTCTTATTGGTCAGTCTCATGAAGAGGCTGCCAGTCTAACATGTATCCCAATGTTGGGGATTTGGGTACTGAAGGCCCAAACTATACATTACAGAAGATAAGTAACTGATATTGACTTTCATTTCCTTATATCAAATAAAACTCAACATCTGTATGTATTTATAGGTCTCTTGTTCTTCATGAACATTAATAACATGATTTGTTGAATAAATCCCAACTGAAGGTCATGCATAATGCTGAGCCATAAAGCACAGTTTAGAAACCAAAATTGCTGAGTTCCCACAACAGGCAATCAGAACTGTATATTGAAAATATGACTGCACCACCTGATGTGCATAAAATATTTCCCCTCTAGCAACAGTATGAAAACTTGTCAAGTATTTATATTTTTCTTCTTCTATACTTAGGGCTGGATTTTGCATGGCTAAGATTTTAATTCACTATGAAGGAGAATAAACAGCTGCTAAAATCTGACTTGGACTCTACCCATTCTTAAAATACTCTAGAATAGGAATGTGTCATTTTTTGTGGAATCCCAGAGAGTTACTTTTGAGGATTCCTCAGAGGTTTCAATAATTTAAGACAATTTCATTTCACTATTATATTTTTATTCCATGTAATATAGATCTACAGAAGATCCTAAAAAGTGACCTGAAGTTTACTTTGTGTTCATGTGATGGCAAAAATCCCCACTTGTTATGCTGTGTACAATTGTTGGATAAGACATAAACAAGCAAATTTTTTTTAAGTTGACTTCCAGGACATACAAGGAATATACAATCTTGTCAGCATTAATGACAAGATCAGCCATGTATGCTTATATGTTACTTGTAAGAACTCGGAGGGTTTGGCAAATTAAAGGATAAAACTGATGCATTCAACCTCAAACTGACTGCATTCATTTGAACTTTAACTGACCAGGAAAAAAGGCTGTAACTGTGGTGCCAAATATCAGCCATAATGCCAGCAAAGATAATCTAGGTCAGTTTTTCTCAGCCTTGGCCACTTTAAGATGTGTGGATTTCATATTGGCTGAGGAATTCTGGAAATTGAAGTCAACACATTTTAAAGTGGTCAAGGTTAAGAAACAATGATCTGAGCCAATGGTGTGAAACTGTCAGCCCACAGGCCGGATGCATCATGCCGAAACCGCGCCCACCCCATTGTCGGCAACGGAAAAAAGTCATGATATGTCGCGACATGTCACGTGACGTTGCAAGTTTGACACCCCTGATCTGAGCTATTCTGGAAAGCTCTAAGGATCATAAATAAGAGGCTGGGGAAGGTCTCAGGAAGTCTACAATTGTTGCTGCTGACCTAAATTATATCTGAGTTCCCTGCCTATATAAGAGTTTTGTAACACATAGGGTGATGTGCAAGGACTGGATTGAAGGTGAAGCGGCTTCAAAGATCACTATTTCCTGAGGAAGACAGTAGTGATTGAGAAACTTTTTCCCCCTAGGGAAGAGAGAAAAAGAAGAAAAATATGAAAATATAAAATATAAGGAGTGAAACACTGATTAGACCAGTGGTGGCGAACCTATGGCACGGGTGCCAGAGGCGGCACAGAGCCCTCTCTGTGGGCACGTGTGCCATCACCCCAGTCCTAGGCCTTCAGCTGGGTTTTATTAAAACCTTTTCGCTTTAGGCTCTGCCGCCATGTACAAAAAAAAAAGTTCAATCAATCAGTCAATTTCAATCTCTCGCAGGAAAAAAAAAGATCTTGCAAAGTTGGAATTGATTGATTGAACTTTTTAGTCACAGTCTGCTGTTACCACCGCAGCCACACCCACCCAATGGGTCACACCCAGCCAATGGGTCACACCCACCCGGCACTCGACGATGCATAAGTGGGTTTTGGGTTGCAGTTTGGGCATTCGGTCTCTAAAAGATTCGCCATCACTGGATTAGACACAGCATTTAACTAGAAAGAAATACTGAAGACAGGTTCCATGCAAACAGTAGAACTTACCTTCATGTTTGTCTTGAGCAGCTGTTATATGTTCATCCTCATCCTCTGTACTGTAATCGCTAGGTTCAGGTTCAGAACTCAAAAGCTGATCTTTTTCAATAGCCTCAGCTATTTTCTCTCTGACCGATTTGCGATCTTCAAAAAAATAGTTCCACAATCATAAAAGAAGAGAGCAAAAGAGAAAGCAAAAAAATAAAACAAAATAAAATAAAAACCAACCCATCCTTGAACATAAAATGAGCTTACAATTACTGTACAACTAGCTAAGGATGGCAATTAAGATCCAGCAAAATTCTTCACCATAAAGATGAATTATGTACACATATAAGCAAACATCATTCTTTCTTTAGGCAATGAAAATTTCATGCAATGCTGTCTCTCCCATGCAAAAATTACACAAAGCACTCACTACTTTCAAATATCACCAAGCTGTAAGGTCAGAAATGGTTTTAATTTGTGCACAAATTAAAATCAGAAAGGTATCCTGAAGGCAGGATACAAATAACAACAAGAACAGTAATAGCAACAATACAATTGAAAAGCTATTATTCCATCACAGATAAAATAAGGGCATCTTTGAATACTAAGCTTCCTGATACAATTCCAACAGTTTTGTTAACTCCTTAAGGAAGTAAAATAACTTGCAAGCTTTGTCTCATTTTGATGCATGGGAAAGGCTGAGTGTAAATCCCCAGATGCTCCAGTTTTGCTATGCCGTTCTACAATATTATTATTATTATTAGGGTCCATGACAGCTTAAGGGAGTACTAGTATTTTAACTGTAACTTTAGTGTGTTAATAATTAGGTTATTTATATTTCACTTGTTTATAACAAAATGTCCATTATTAATATCATATTCCTATCAGCTCAGAAACCATGATTTACTAAGAAACAGCACATTTTTTCTTTTGTCCAAAATGACATTAAAGGAGAAAGAAATTGCTCTGTAAAAATGCTCTTCAGCATTTATGTCTTGTCTTTTTAAAAAGGAAAATATTGAAGACTCTTCTTAAGTATGGACACCCTATTCATGCATGAGCAGTGGTTGTGCAGTGGTTAGAATGCAGTATTGCAAACTAACTCTGCCAACTGCCAGCAGTTCGATCCTGACCAGCTTAAGGTTGACTCAGCCTTCCATCTTTCCAAGGTTGGTAAAATAAGGATCCAGATTATTGGGGGCAATATGCTGACTCTGTAAACTCTTAGAGAGGCTGTAAAGCTCTATGATGCGATATATAAGTCTAAGTGCTTTTGTTATTTTATAGGAAAATTTTCAGTATTGCCACATCACCTGAAGGTTAATGTATGTATAATGTGGTAAATCCTGTTTGGTGCATGGAGATTCCTTTATTTTATCTCATCTGAAAAGTTTTTGCCTACCACAGACATAATCAATTATGTCTGATATCTTTGTTGTCATGGCTGTCATATGGCATGGCTATATATTTGAAGAAGTAACTATTGACCTTTGATCAAACCTAAAGCTAACCCAGTGTTTCTCAACTTGAAAACTTGAAAATGTGTGGACTTTAAATTTCTAAATTTCCTAACCAGCTTGCTAACTGGGCGATCTCTGGGAGCAGAAGACCACACATATTCAAGTTTTCAATGTTGAAAAATACTACTCCAACTCATTAAACCTAACCTAACCCATAGTTTTTTAAAAAATGCAAAACAGCCAAAATAATCAACTGATGCCTGAAACTCAGTGGGCTGCTAAAGGTTCTTCGCAGGCAAAAAAGGAGAGTTGATGCCTCTCACACTGAATCTGGGCAACATGCTAAGAAATAAGATTCATTCAATTTACAGACCTTTGAGAGGTACTACCTGTAATACATTTCCAAGGGAGAATGTCCTTTTGCATCATTTTCACATACATGCTTCTTTTATATGTCTCTTCTGGGAATTCCTGCTACTCTTTCCTCTGGCTATTGGCAAATGTTACAATCTGAGTCCCACTTTAAAACAGGGGAGTCATTCTGTATAGGGATGATTGTTCTGTGAATAAAGAGACCTGACCAGAACCGATCACAGTATTTGAGCTTCAGGCCATTTTTAGAGTCTGATCTCCTGCCACAACCTAATAGGTTAATTGAGCGTTATATGGTCTTAATGATTTACCAAGCTTGAATAGTTTGCTGTTCCCAAAACTATCATCAAAATCATCCATTAGAATGTTCACGTGTCCTCACATTCCTATTCAGAAACTATTAAGTAACAACTTTCTTTGTTTGCCAGGACATTCATCAAGGCATACTATATCATCTACTACTACCCTGTAAAACGTCTTTTAAAGAGGTGTTGGTAGCTGACATTTTTAAAACCTTCAATCACAGCAGCAGAATCTGAAGACACTGCTGAATGCTATACTGAAAGCTAAAACCGTTGCACAGTCATTTCATGATTATGGTCTAAACAAAATAGAAGTAATGATATTCTTTTATGCTAAAATCTGGGGCAGGCCACTGACTCAGCCTACATACTTTTTTCCACACTTGCATTTAATGTTAGAATATTTAATTCTATATGTATTCCTCTTAAGTGGTTAATTTCATTCCTCAAATATTCATCTCATCTAACAGTGTAATTGCAAAGTCGCTCATACTGAAAACCTAGCATATGGATGAAGGAAAATATCTCAAGCAACGAAACACCTATAAATAATTCAGCATAATTATCCCGAACTGTATTTTTTTCAATATTCCTCCATGTTTTATACATAAAAAATTGCAAGACAATGAAAAGCAATCCAGCACCAAGATGTTAGCAGACAATTACCATTTTATAATCGTCTGACCCTGCCAAACTAGTAAATCCAGCAACACAAAGTCATATGAAACAATCTATCAAAATATATTAAATCAAGCAAGAACATAATGTATCACCATCCAAAGAACATATTCCAAACCACAAATCAAAAATATTAGCATGACTTATGGCTTTCTTTCACGCCTGCATCACCACTGATAAAATGCTAATTAGTATGAATTGATTCACCCTTACAATATTTCCATCACGAGCTACATTAAAATGAAATAAAATATTTTTGTCTTTTTGCCAAAGGGATCTGAGGCAGGAAATGGGAATAATCATGTAAATAATATGTATTTTATGATTCACAGAAATAAGCATATGGGTTACAATTCTGGATATTGTAGCCTAATATGTTTAGTGGTCAACAGGTTTGGAAAGGTTGTATTGGACAATGGTAGCCGAGATGATCAAATAATCTAATACAGAATAAAGAAGGATAACCTAAATATGGCAATCCATATTCTTCATGATCATGAAAAAACTGAAAAAATATCATGTATTTGGGTCTCCCAATTCATTGTCTCAAGTGATAAAAAGACACAAAAACTATGTTTCTGAATCTTTACGAAATATACACAACTATTTTGATTTTGTTCTTTTTGTATGAATTGTACAACTAAGATTTCAATTATGGTCATTATCAATTCCAGGCATATTCACTGATCTAAGATTCATTTCATCTCTTTGCCCCTGGCTAACTAGAAATTAAATTAATTCAGTCACCAAATGTGATGCACAATAGTGATGGTGACAAAGAAAGACTCACGGAAGCCCTATATACGTAATATTATTCAATCCCGGCACTTGAAATAGTAAGACGGCAATTTCAAGACAAATCTCGACCAGTTATCTGGCCCATACAGCAAAGCAAAATCTTGACCCATTCAAGGATATTAATAGATTTAGGAAGATTCAAGCAAGGTTTTTATTCATATTCAGTATCAAAACATGGCACCAGAAAAATCAGCATTCACTTAAGAATCAACAAAGCAACACACTTGTATTCACCAACCCTAGTACAGATCTCTCTGCCAACCATACTTACCACCTTCCTTATCTTCAGAAATCCTCCTGCTCGGATAGCCTTCTAGGGCACTGCTTTTCAAATGCACTAACTTATCCTTCTCTTCCTCCTCCCCCATGTCTACCGACCCTATAAGCTTGGGTTTCTCATGGCCCGGACTCATGTCCTGAAGGGTCATCTCCACTTTTTCTTCATAGAAGATATCTGGCACATTCTTGGTGGACAAGCTTTCTGTTTCCCCCAAGTTTTCCTCTTCTTCCACATCAGTTCCCTGACGTCCCTCCCGTTGAGACTTGGTGGTTTCCGTTTCATATTCTGAATGAATGTCTGTAACGTCTTCCTCCTCATCACGCTTCCTGCCTTCGGACTCGGATTCGGTTGCGCTGCTGTATAATGTGCTGCTGCCGGAGACGGAAAGCACTTGTTTTCTACCTACAAAGAGTAAAGACAGTTACTGGCATCCTGCAACGCAATCCTTGGGATGTATTTTTTGTAAGGTCAAGTAGAGAAACTTACAATTAAGCCTGAAAAAGTGCCTCTCTTCACACACACACACACACACACACACACACACACACTGCACAATCACTTCATCCACTTGAAAAACACACTTGGAGCTTTATATTATCCCCTTTTTTATACAAAACATAAGTGATGCAAGTGGGAACTGAAGTTGGTGATGCTCGCTCTGCCATGGCTTATGAGGAATATGCAAATAGCATTAGGTTTAAATCTCCAAGAATGTAAAAAGAAACAGTACCTTTGAGTTATCCAGCTCATTAAAAATATTATCAGAATTTTAGAGAATATAAACAGACTAATAGCAAAATCGCTGTTTGCTACCCTCAGCAAAACATCATGAAATGTTTTCTCTAACTAATGAGTCTTGATTTATTCACAGCATTATGGCCTACCAGGATCTGAAAAATGTAAGTTCAGTCTCTCTGACCACCTCTTAACAAAACAATGGGAGGAAAAAATAAGAGTAAAGATTCCTTATCTATCTGGAGAGGTTATTAAAAACTTCCACATTGGGAGAAATTTTGCCTTCAATTAGACTTGCAGGTCTGCAGCTGTCAAGAATAAGAACAGATTTTGTGGATCATTGTATATAGAAAATAAGTCTACTGCTACAGTGTTTGAATTTTAATTTTCAGTCAAAATTAAATAAAAAATGCATAGTCCCTCCAAAATCTTTCTGTACTACTACCTGAGAATGAAGATAGATAGATAGATAGATAGATAGATAGATAGATAGATAGATAGATAGATAGATAGATGATACATACATACATACATACATACATACATACATACATACATACATACATACATACCAGACAGACAGATATGGAAAGAAGAAAAAGAACTCATCATATAATGCATCTGTTTTCTATGTCCGAACAGTCCAGCATCTTTTAAATAAGAAATCCATTGATACTATAAGCAAAGAAGCAAATCAACAAGGACCCTGACAAAATGACTTTGTTCCATTCCAACAAAATAAATTACACAATAACAAATCAAGGAGCTCGGATATATTTTTTTCAGATATAAAACAAATTCAATCATGGCTAACCATCCAGCGACCTGAAAGAAATGAAGGGGTGAGCTTTTAACAAACATCTAAATATTGTATTGACAGCAGAACCAAAGAGGAATGGAAATGAACAATTAAAGAATAGTCATTGGCCTTCTGATTATCATCTCTGTCTGGACAATCCTCTATTACAAAGTGAGACTCCCCACCCATCACTGTATGGTATCCATATCATATAGAGTCGGTACCCTACAGAAAAATACCTACACAAAAAAGAAAGGTCTGTATACATTCATTTGGAAGCAAAAACCCCACAAGCAAGTTGCCCACATTCATTTGGAAGCAAAAATTAGCTGCTAATTACTTTCCCGAACACGAAATATGATCATTGTTGAAATTCAAATCATATGATATAATTTGGCCACAAGCCTCAGAAGACACACCAACTTTTTAAAAAAGGAACAAAATGTGCAATTATGCTTATTAATGATTAGCAAAGCTGCAAGATGATTATTTGTCACAGTCAGTGACTATGTAAAAATTGGGTTTGTCTTGATCAGAACCAAGATTCTTTTCCATGCAAACCAACCCCAAACCTGGTTTGACAGCCTGAGTTTGCTGTTGACCTTTATGCTTCCTATAAAAAGCTTGGATCTTTCGGGCAGATGCATCCATTTCCAAGTCAGTTGCTTTACCTTTGCCTATATTTCACAGAGAAAACATGAAAGTAAAAGCAACATTAACATTTGGTTTGAATAAAACAATGTTCTTTCATGTACAGTAAGGCCCATCAAAATGGAAGAATTTTAGGGATAAGCAGTAAATATAGAAAAGTCTGGAATAGCTTCGGTGTCAAGAGGGGAATAAGTTACAGCCAAATCAGAAACAGTAAAATAGAAAAGAAGAAATCAGGTTTGCATCAAGAAGAAAGCCAAAAAGCTGGCTGCTTCCATAATTTTGCAAATGTGCTCTGCTTGAGACCTGCTTCCACACTTTTTGTATTAATGAATGGGAAATGAAATACATGCTTCCCACTAGATTATTTATGGGAGTGGGTGGCTGCAAATACATACAGGAAATAATTATCTCCATCAGTCATGGTGACTGGAAAAGAGAGAGGTTACCCAAAATCTTATTTATTCTCCTGAAACAAATCCTGTGACATTTTAATCTCCTTGTGCTAATAATTATTGAGGGTTCGCTACACTGAGCTTTCGTTCCCTGCCTCGAACCCATCTGGCCCATGAACACACATTTTTCACCTTGAGGTTGGGACATTTCATTGTAGGAACAAAGTGAGGGTGGGTCGAAATAGTGCACCGTAAAGTTCTGTGGTGCAAGATCACAAAGATAGGACAAGAGATCTCTACAACTGCTGACAGACAGACAGACAGAGATGCAAATGGAGAATACTCTTACAGCACTTGACACTTTACAATGCTAAAGTGACACCTACTGGCTACCCTGTAAGTGTAGAAAGTGAGAGAAAAATACCACCAACTCAGAAAAGACAATGCATAGCATAGACCATTGTTCGTACTATCCGACTTTGCAAACAAAGTCATCAACTCGCCTTTGTTTTCTCCAGTGTAAACCATGGATTACAAGCTATTTGAGTTTATAAGAATATAATCCCATCTTCTCAGTCTCTCCTGCAGGGAGCTTTTGTTAGCTAACTGGCATAGAAATTATTCAAAGATCTACTGGCAGGAGCCTCCTAAGAACCGAAGATCTGCTTCTGATTTGACAACAGTACATAGAACAGAGTACATAACATGGTTATGAGGGAAGTTTCAAAAAAGACAATAAGAAGCAAAGCTCTCCTTATGCCTTGTTTTGTACAGAATAGAATAGAGTCTATTTCATTCTACACAAAGGTAAGACCATTGTGGTTCAGGCTTCAAATGCAGACATAAGTCATAACAGATACTATAATATTTCATTCTATAACTGTCAACTTCATTCCTTCATTCGTACACTCCTCTTTGGCTGAACAGTCACAGAGGCAGATTCAAAAATAAGAACATGGGAAATGAATGAATGAATGAATGAATGAATGTAAATTCAACTTTAACTGGTACTTAACCATGACCCTGAAAATGAAGAGTCCTCTGAAATATTAAAAAGCTATTAGGATGGTGTACTTCAATTTAAGAAAAAAACAACTAACCATGTTTTCTCTCCTCTTCCTCTGTGTAGCTTTCCGTATATCCCTCACTTTCATCTCGCTCACTATCAGAAGTCCGTGAAGATTTCTGTGATGAGATTTTTTTCTTCCTTTCATCATCTGAACGATCTGTTTCCCCTTCGGAGAGCGGCTTCCCTTTTTCACTCATTTGATCATCAGCACGTGCTTCTTTCTCAACTTTCTCAACTTTCCCAACTGATTTCTTTTCATCAGCTTCAAAATCTTCCTCATATGCTGAAATACAATGATACATATATTGGGAGATAGGAAATTGACTGCATCTTATTACTGGCTCTCATTAACCCCCAAAAGGTTAAGTCCATTAGCTTTTGGTTCGCCTTTGTACTTGACCCTAAAAAATAGCAACAACATCAAAGTTAATAGTGGACTGAACCTGTACAATGTGTTTTTCTGTCAAATTTAATTGTCCACTCTGCTTTTATTCCTTTCATTCACCCTCCCCCCCCCCATGTTCTAGAATGCCAGGAAACAGGAAGAGATCTCACAGGAAACCATTTAAGGAAACAAATTATCAATAAAATGCGGCCAAAGCAGCATAGGACTGATTATGTTGATCTCTCTCTATTCTGCTTGTGAAACTCCATTAAAACAACTGGTATAGTACAGTGTTACATTTGCTTTATAAACTGTCAACACTTCCTAAATTATGTGCAGAAGAGAGGCTCTTCTTGTCCTTTTATCTGCTTTTAGACAAAACCAGTTTTATTCTCCTAGATGGTATTCAGTTCCTATTGTGCACAGGATTCTGCTTAACTACTTTGACTTTATTGAGTGATCCACGATAAGAATGAAATAATAACAACAAGCGCCTTAGAAGCTCAAATCTGGTACACCTGGACAATAGTAGATCCAGGATGGCTGTTTCAGATCAATTCAGTTTTAGGGATTCCTTCATGCAACTTACCCTGATAAAAGAGAATATTTGTAGCTCAGGGTTGAAATGAGGAGTCCTTGGTGTTCTTTGAGCTTGGTTGTTTTCTTGCAGACATTTCATTACCCAAATTTGTTACCTAGTTTGGGTAATGAAACATCTGCAAGAAAACAACCAAGCTCAGAAAGCACCAAGGACCCCTCACTGACTAACTTGCTTTCTCTTTTCAAACCATACCTTCATAAGCAGACGTTTTCTGGGTATCCTCAAATTCATCTCTCTCTTCTTCTCTTTTTTTGGTCTCCAATTGCTTTTCTTCAGCACGTTCTGCAGCCCGTTTCTTTACTGCAGAAGCTGAAGGAAAGTGGGGCGGTAATACTTTTTTTTCCTCTTTCAACTTGTGTGTCACGTCCTCTTTCTTCCAATCTTCCAGCTTTGCACTTTCTTCAAGGGTCTTCTTTTTTGGAGGTGTAGGCTTTTTGTCCAGGCCCAATGAAATTATACATCTGATAAAAATTTAATATAACATTATGAAAACATACTAGCAAAAGTGTCTGATTCTACGGATTACTCGAAAATAAAAGCAGAGAAATTTCCTGCATTTCTTTTTTTAAAAAAAAAAACAAGAATGGGTATACAACAATATACAACAAAAAGATTTATGTATACTGGAATTGTACAAGTATTACCAAAACAGCTGGAGAAAATCATTTCACCAGCTAATTGACCCTAATGAAAAACTGTAACGTGAGAGGAGACCTTTTTTGGGAGGGAGGTAATTTTCCATTTGTCAGTCGATTTTCAGATGAATGGATTCATAACGCATTAAGGGAAAATATGGCAGAGTTTTTAAAGTCTTTTAAAAAAAGGAACGTTGGATGAAGCTTAATGTAAGGGAAAATAAGGGCAATTGATTTTATAAAATCAATTTTTAGGGCGATAGCCACTCTTAAGTCTAAGGAAGTGTTGAAGTCAATAGGCTGTGTCATTCGTCTACATACTTTCAACTGAAAGAAATATTTAAATTACACACAAAATTATGGGACTGACCCTGTGAAAATGAATTTGAAATTATACTAGGCAGTAAGGACGAACTTGTTATTGCCAAGGTTTATAAATTGTTATTGAAACTGAATTTGAAAAACAAATATGTGAAGCATTGTATGATTCAAAGAATTTTGATTATAATGTAATGCTAGAACAATGGGAAAACATGTGGATGAAGGGTTTAAATTTTATGTTGAATTATAATTTAAAGGAAAATGTTTATAAAATGATGTACCGATGGTATTTAACCTGACAAATTGTTAAAGATATATAAGGATGCTTTAAATATATATTGGAAATGTAAATGTAAAGAAGGAACTTTTTATCACTTTTATTGACAAAGCAAAGAAATACTGGGATAAGATTCATATTTTAATACAGAAGATTCTCAAAATAAATATAAAAATCAAACCAGAGACTTTTCTTTTTAATGGATAAAGAACTTGGGGAAAAAAATCAAGAGCTTTGTTATTATAGAGGTTGATACAGCAAAAATGCTATATGTGCAAAAAAGGGAAAGAGACACTATTTCCCATAATGGAAGAACGGCTGAAAAAACTGTTGGAATTAGTAGAGATGATGAAGTTAATTGTTTTAATCAAACAAAAGAATATATCCAAATGAGCCGAGGTGGCGCAGCAGTTAGAGTGCAGTACTGCAGGCCACTTTAGCTGACTGTGTTCAGCAGGTCAGCGGTTCAAATCTCACCGGCTCAAGGTTGACTCAGCCTTCCATCCTTCCGATGTAGGTAAAATGAGGACCCAGATTGTTGGGGGCAATGTAAATATATATATACATTGCTTACTGGTGTACACCGCTTAGAGAGTGCTTGCACTTAAAGCGGTATATAAGTCTCATAAATAAATAAATAAATAAGCTTTGCTTGGAAACTGCTTCTAGATTTTGTGCTTGAGACAGAAAAAAATGACTTTGACTTTGGATTTTGCAAGATTAGACAAGTTTGTTGTTATAGAAATGGCTAGTACATATTAGATAAAAAGTAAAAGTAAAATGTTGAGTCTGTAATATTATTTTTATTCTACTGGGCTGAAGAGTCAGAAGTTAATGTTTTTCTTCCTTTTCCCCCTTTATTCTATACTTCTTTCTCCCCATTTTCCCCTTCCCCATTTTTCCATTGTAAGCTTAATAAAATATTATATGTAAAAAAATTGAGGGCAATTTTTCAGGGAAAAAGCAAATGTACTGATTTGAGGAAATTAAAGTACCACTTCAAGATCAGAATTCACAAAATGAATGAACAAAATCATTGAGAAAAATATTTTTAGTAAAAACTTCTGTAAAATGAAATAGGTATAAGATTTCTTCCACAGTTCCCCAATTAAATTCCAAATTAAGAATTCAAAGATTTGTAGAAAGCAAATATTCCAGATTCAACTATACAACTGGATTGTATAGGCACAGTTTATAGAAGCATTATTTAATTAAACTGTGTTGTAATTTCTTTATAAATTGTAGAAATAAAAAGTTATTTCATGGGTTATTTTTTTATTTATTAAATTTATATGTCATCCATCTCACTGTTGAAGCAACTCTTGATAGCTTACAAAGTGATAAAAAGATAATATAAAACAATTAAGATGAAGAAAGATTGAATAAATATTTTAAATAAAGAGAATTTAAATAGGGACTAAACACCAAGAGGATGGGAATTTAAATAGGGACTAAACACCAAGAGGATGGGCAATACATAAAACAAAATCCAAGAAATCATTAAAGTATAGGAAGAAAGGACAATCGAGTAGAGGTATGGTACCTTTTAGAAATCACATTCAAAACACCTCATATATTATTTGTTTGTCTGACTGCCCATCTTACCTGTTATAATCTCATAATAATCTTATGAGAAGAAATCTGTGGGAAAATGGTGAGGCCACTGCTGTTTGATTTGTCTCTTGACTAACTAGCCGGCTGTGCTATTCCAACATTCTTTTAATTCTGTATTATCTAGACTATGTTATCTTTAATTTAGAACACCATAACTCCTCCCCCCCCCCAGAGATCACCTAGGCCAGGGGTAGGCAACCTTGGCTCAGGAATTCTGGGAGTTGAAATCTACGAGTCATAAAAGAGCCAAGGTTGGCCCTTTCTGCTGGCCTTTCAAAGGACCCTGGAAACATAGTTTTGCCATCAAGCATGGGCAGCAGAGAATGTGGCAAGCTGGCCCAGGGATAGAACTGAATGGTGTTATTGTGATTACCGTGGCTATACATTTTATGAATTTTGATATGATGGTTTATATATGTTTTTGGATTGTTCTTTTTTTTAATTGTTGCGTGGCTATATAAATTTGAATAATATATAAAGAAATTCAACCATCCATAAAGTGAAAGATAGTCTATATAAACAAAGTTTTAATTGACATTTAATATTTCAATGGCTTTGCTCTTGCGATGGGCAACAGTGGTTCTCAACCTTTTCTTCATCATGGACACCCTTTTAATACCTTTTGTGGCCACAGACCTCCATGACTTAACTCAAGATTTAAATCTTCAAGCCTTCATGAACCCCCTGTGATGACATCGTGGACCCATAGAGGTCCGCGGACCACAAGTTGAGAATCACTGGGCTACAATATAGTTGTATGATAACTGGGGTTCTTACTACTATCCCAATGGTTAGATAAGCTAGCAAATTAAGTGCCATCTGTTTGGAAAGGCGTGATCTAAATCAATCAATTAACAAAATAGCCTGCAGTCAGAATAAAAAACATTTTGCTTATAGAGAAGATTACAGGTGTTTTTACGCAAAGCAAAATCAATGAAAATGATTAAAATGCACAACAAAGCTATGTCTGTTCCCCAGAGTAATTATTCAAAGCATTTCACTATTCTCTTGCCTGATTTTTTGTCAAAATAAATTGGCATATAAGCAGACCTATATGGCTAGACTAGAAATGTAGTGAAAAAGTATCACCATGGCTTGAATTTGCATGCTTTCCAATCCTCAGAAAGCGCTTATCACATTAGTGATAGCATAACATTTACATTAATCATGCAAATCTGACTCTGAAGAGGAAGTGAAGTGTTTCTGGATGGTGCAGTATGCTTATCAGAAAAATCATTTGGCTCTCTGGGTATTTCTATTTCTTTCCTTTCCTTATTTTTTCACTGCTGTTTATACAATATTTTTCCCAGTGGGGAAATGTGCACCACTTTTTTGGCCTATCAATGCTTTGCACATCAAAGAAATGAAAATATTACAGAAGAAATGGAGGTGGTTGATGTTTTCATTTCTGGCAAAAGACGTAAAGAAGGTTCCTGGCCTAGACTAAAAATAAATGCCCTATTCTTTTATTTACACAATCAGCATAAATCAATACTTTTTTCAAACAGAGAATGCCCAGAAGAGCCCATCTTTTGAAACAATATAATATATGAACCTACTTTCTGAATTTATATCTTATGTTTCTCTGTATTATACTTTTGAAACATACTTTGAAAATGTAGGTTAAATAGTGTAATGCTCACAAATTGTAAATAAGTATTTTACTGAAAGGAATTTGGGCATAGAATTGAAAAGTAATCAACAACTATATAGCTACTGTTCTGTGATATAGAATTGAGCCAAAAATATCCCCCAAAATCAGCCTATAACAGGGGTATCAAACTGCTGGCCTGTGGGTTGGACGCGTCATGAGGAAACCATGCCCACCCCATTGCCGGCAATGTGGAAAAAGTTCTGATACATCGTGCGATGTCACATGATATCGTGAGTTTGACATGTCTGGCCTATAACATCCTAGGGTGTAGGATCTAGGGAAATAGAATTTGAAAATATATTACAAAAGGACTATGTACTATGAACAAGAGAACAAACTATTTTAAGCCAATCTAAGCCATTACATTATATTAATAGATGTCTTAAGTTTACCAAGCTGAAATCTACACTTCACTGTTTCTTTGAAATAATTGGCATTCTGACTGGTTATTTGCCACCAAACATGTAGAGGTCTTTATTGTCCACATCTTCACACTTTTGCTAACAGAACAAAGTGGGAATCTTCATAAATGCAGCTAAAATTATCCACACCACTGGAAAGCTGGAGTGAACTAGGTCCACAACCATGTAGATGATTCTAATGATGTTCAGCTGAATATGCAAAGTTGTTTCTTTCTAACTTTACAATCAAACCCCGAATCTTTGAGGCCACAGATTGTGAGGACAATCTGCTGGTAACAGTCTTACTGTGCCCCATCTCCCCTTCAAATATTCTGTGAACTCCCAAATAGTCTTAAGTATGTTTCAGTCTTCCTCTGCAACTTTCAGACAAAAGTGGATATAAAAATTAGATGGTTGGAAAAGATTTAATCAATCCTATTTTATAACATAAATTAATGGTTCAGTGGATGCTCTGTGTTATCAACATTAAAAAAAATAATCAAATTCTGATTTTATACAAAAAATCAAAACACAAGAGAGATCTGAGATAAATTTAAGGTTTTAAATAAACAGTTTTCCCAAATTTTCCGAGTAGAATAAATTGACAGAATTGTGCAATTGAAAAATTAATGGAAATGGTTGCTAATAATGTTTTGGAATCAAAATACATGTAGAAATGCCATAGAACAGTTACAAGTATACAGGTTCTACTCTGGCTTTGTGTTTGAATAAATATTATTCATGGCAATTTTCTTTCATAGGAGCGCTCCAGCAAGTGTTTAGTATGGATTTTTGATATGGTTGTTATTGGTGGTTATTTATCATATTTAGCCATTTCAGTCCAAAGCTCAAGATCAGGGACAGGAGTTGGTTGAGTCTTCTTGTGTTCCCAGAATTATTAATTCTAGCCCTGCATTTAGACTATTTTATCATGTATATTCACTACATGATGTGCTACAATTCAAATTACGATGCAACTACTTTAGATATCAGTTTACTGTAGTTAGGGAGAAAGGTGGATGCCATAAAATTGATGTGATAAACTTTTTGGGTAGGAGAGACTTCTGCTATATCATATATTATTCAAGCTGCTCTTTACTCTGATGCATTGTGTGGCTATCTGCAAATTGACCCCTAGATATGAGGAGTGACACATATACAAGACTCCATTTGACCAGCATTCCAAGTGGTACCAATGTTGTTATCCTATGCATTGAAAAGGTTTTCCTGTACACGGGTTTCTTGGGAACCAAATGAGCCTAACAAATAGACCCAGCTCTGAGGATAAGGTGAGGAGCACAATGCCAATCATGCTTTATGAGATCATTTTTCTCAACATAAATAGGTCACTGTCCCATGCCATGTAAAATGTATAAAGTTATTCATTCCCATGGAAAAATATATATAGAGAAAGATTTATTCATAAACTATCATTTATTTTTATATTAAGGATGCAAAGGGACTCTCTACTTTATAAGACTTAAATGATTTCTCCTTCAGAGCTGTGATCCAGACAATACCACTTGAAAGAAAAATTTGGTGGCAAATTAAAGACAATATTAATGCCTCAAAACAGACTGATCAATATAAACGCATACCTATAGCAAGGAGATGATCTTTCCACATTGATGAAACCAAAGTATCCATGCTTGCCTCCTAGCCGAGTACCTTTCCGATGCTTATATTCGCAGCAAGAACTTAATCGGTCAACCTGAATTCCATTGAGATAAAAGGTGAGACTGAAGGGGAAGCCATGATGCCTCCTGGAGATGAACTGAAATGTTTCTGTAATTGAAAAAAAGAAAAAAAAAGTATATATAACGGAGCTTTTTTATTATTTATTTATTTTTTATTTATATTTATTTTTTAAAAAAACAAAACAAAACCCAGAGCTTTTGATCATATTTAAGATAGACAAGGAACCAGTTCAATACAAGTATATCCCTGTTTCTTCCAAGACTGTACTACTTCAAGCTGTAAGTTAGAGGTGGCATGTTTCAAAGCTGTCCCAAATAAAGGGATCATGTATGCATAGGAAAGTAGTACTTCTAGGACAAATCCATGGTCAAATTGTCTTTGGTAAGCTTTCAAGATGCAGAAACATTTTATATGTTGTTGTGGGAAAGTAAGAGGAGAAAGGTGTATGGGATATGTTCACCTCCTTGGGTTGTTTGTAAAAATAATAAAGGTGGGACACATTAAATGAACAGAATTTAATAAAGGGGAATAAACTTAAAGTGGAGAGCTTTCTTAAATACAAAACAACTATAAAAACAATAAGCTAGTGTTAGTTTCAAGATTCATACATACACATACCATTACCTTACTATCTGACTAAACAGACTAATCTGATGAATACTAACAACAATAAAACTACTTCTAAGCACACATTTAAATCCAACTCTTTTTCTCTGCCTTATCAAGATCCATTCCCACCCAAACCTCCTTATGCTTATTTAGACCTTAATTGTTCTTTTATCAGATCTCATAGAGACTATTTTAATCTGTGCTTTACTTAACGCCAAACAAGATGTGACACTACTATCTGCAAAGCTGCTTTTTTCCTGATAGTACCACCACATCTTGTTTGGCTCTAAGTAAAGCACAGATTTGAATAGTCTAGATTAGAACTGACTAAATGAAGATGAGGATTCCAATGTAGAAGGGCAGAAGCTTTTACCTCAACATGGAATCATTGCAACAATATACCAGCTAGTTACACTACAGGAAAAAAAATACTTTTAAGCTACAGGAGGTATTTTTCCAATTGCAAATAGCAAAGGTGTGTGTGTGTGTAGGAAAACAAATATTCACTGGGATTACAGTAAAGAATAACCTAGTTTATATCCCACTTTAGGATTAAAGCCCTCAAATTTCCTATTTAGTGTTTTTAAAAAATGCCACTGCTAAATATACAGAACTGAGGGGTAAAACTAATTGCATAAAGGTATCTTTTCTGGTTTGACCCTTGCTTCTGTCTACTTTCCAACTGTTGCCCTGGTCCACTGCAGTCCGAAACCTCTGCATTCTCCTTAAACCTTATTAGTAATGCTTTAAAAAAAATAAAGTTACTCTTGAACATCATTTATTGCAAGTTTGCAATGCTTTTTTCTCTTTTCTAGAAACTTAAGTATCTGCTGTTTCATTCAGTATCAATCTCAGTTCCTTCTGCTCTTTACTTGCATATTTATGGATCAATCCTTCCTTTCACTAGGGAATGTTTTGTTTTGTTTTTTGCTGTTCCCCTTCATTTTTTTCTGTAACCTCCTTTCTCAAATACCATTCCAGCTTTATTTTACAGTTTCTTCATTAGCAGCTGATTTTTTATTTCATCGTTCCTTGACCTCTTCCCCTGTTGTTGTTAACCAGTCAGTCTAATACAGATTTAAGGCCTTTGGGCACAGACTACATTATTTCCACCTAGTGCCTAGCACTATGACAAATTAAATAAATGATAACTAACGATATAAAGGCTATCATTCCTTAGCAATAGCCCAGGACCATGGCATGAGATTAATTCTACCCAGTATGCTATTCTTCCCTTATTTCTGCTGGCAATTATACCTGGAACAGCTTTGCTTAAGTCAATATCATCACCATTGATTCACATTCAGAATCAAACCTCAAGCCTGCATTCATTTCCCTTCTGGAGCGATAAACAGTTCACACTGATATATTATAGCTTCTTGTATGTAGATAATTTGGTATTCATTTTACCCCTGCAAGTATTTTATTAAACATGCATCTCCATCCAAAAATTAATCTAGCCCACTGCATTTTGTTAAATCACCCCTGTACATCCCTCCTTCCACAATTTGCAAAAGTAATTGCAGCCTCATTTTCAATCATGAAATAGTAAATCTAAACTTGGTTTGAGGCAGCTGGAATATAAGTCCCTGGACACACATAAGCAGACTAAGCTTTGCAGAAATAATTCTGCTACCACTTCAACAGTTTATCCATATAAAAATAAGAGGTTGCCAGAATTCAGATGAATTCTTGGTGGTTTTTTTCAGTCTCACCTCCCTCCAGCAGTTTGCCTCTATACACACATAGGTTTTCTCCTCCACAATGCTGTTGGTAAATTTTTATTTCTTCTCGATAATCTAAAAGGTCATATGAAAGGTGCACAGTTTTTCCCAAATAGACCATGGTAACATATGCATTGCTTTGTATTTGAGGCCTGCAGAATTTTCCAGTGTCCTGCATAAAAAGGCAGAAAAGTGTACTGAAATATGTGGATTGTTAGACATATGTTCCCATGTTATCTCATTCTATTTTGAGATCACTTCAGTACTCACCCATGAACAAGTGCTAAAATTCAAAGGGATTTAAACCATTCCAAGTACTTCTTGCACATATCACAAAAAAGGCCCTCCAAAAGAAACATGTTGAATTAAAATCTGAGCTCAATCTGGCTGTATAAAAGTTTGTTGCATAAAGAAGAGCTACTTTAACGATATACAAAGCTGCTTTTGACTGCCTCTAGATAACCTGGTCTAGCATTACTGAATGATTGACATGGTTTCTTCAGAATTTCAGATAATTGCTTGAAGTTAACTGGAGATGCCAGAGATTAAACTAGGGTTAGAGTTAACCTAACATGAATAATGGCTCTCACCTTTGTGCTGATATAGCACAAAGGGAGAAAAAGATAAATTCTGGATAAATAAGGGGAACCTAAAATCTAATTTCACAATGGCTTTACTATCATAATGCCTTTCCACAAAACTTCTATGAAACCACTTTCAAATACAATACTGGTTACTGCAACTCCAAAAAGAATATTGTAGAACTAAAAAAAGGTACAAAAAATTGAATCTGTATGAAAAAAAAAAGTACTGGAACAATTGAAACTTTTTTGTGAGAAAAAAGTTAAGAGGAAATGTAATAGGAATTTGTAAAATTAGGTATGCTCTGAGGATGTAGAGAATACTGAAATTAAAAGTAATCCTATAATTCTGAAGGGTGAATAGTCAGGATAGTGGAACCAAAGTCATTCTCATAAAAGTAAATAACCACATTTGAAGCTAGATGATATGGTAACGGCACCCATACTAATCGTTTTAAAATAGGATTAGACACATTCGTTTAAATTAATATAGTAATTCAGAATCTCACTGTGGATAGCTCCCACACTGGAGCCTCGGGTAAATCTAAACACCTGCTGAAAAAGCCTAAAAGAAATGAAAAAAAGGGGAAAGGAACATCTAGGCCAGTTCCAGAGCCCAGATCAGCTATCTGTAAGGTCTATGGGCCCAAAGGCATAATACAGTGCTTAACTGAAATTCATGGGATTTCAGTTACTTGGTTATTTGTATTTTATAATGGCTTTATTTAAAGTCGTCATCCTTAATTTCAGATTTACATAACATAACGTTTGCTCATTGAGATCAATGAGCAGATATGAGTTCTTTAATATTATGAGCATCACATATAACACTTTTTCTAAAAGTGTTACTTGTATATTTAAATGCAGCTTCTCTAGCTACAAGGAACAGTCAGTCTTTTGCAAAAGGGCTTACCTTTCTTTTCCAAGTTATTTGCTATAAAGTATCACTCTATATCCACTTTCCTTATCCTGGTGCCTTCCCCCAGATACAGCAAAAGCTTTCTGATGGCAATTTCTAGAATTCACAGCTAACATTTTTGCACTGCTGTAGGTTGGGAAAATGTACTCTATATTTTGAAAAATACTTGAAGGAAAGCTTGGATGAAAAAGCAGTAGAACAGATTCAAAAGAATGGTTCAAAGTATTATATTTATCTATTCAAAAGACTGATATTAGAAACAAAACCAAGTTTTTACAGGAAACGAAAATGCAAACTTTCTTTATTTTAAAAGATGTATCTCTGTGTGCATTTTAAAAAGATGGAGAACGGTATTTCTTTAGCAAAAAAAGCCCATCAAGGAGTAATTCAGCACATCTTCATATGCTTAGTAGAGGCCATTACAAAATTACTTACACAAGAAAAAAATGCAATAGTGGGAAGAAGAAGAAGAATCACCTTCATTAGCAACTGCTCCAGGCCATTTGATGAAGTTGTAGGGCGAAACCGTCGACCTCTTCCCACAGGTTTCATGGGGATTATAGTTTTGTCACTTCTGGGTGGTTGTGGAATAGGTATCATATAATTGTTAATAATGGGAAGTCTGTATGGGGATACTTCAACTGAATAATCCATTGAATGCACAGGCCTTAATATCCCTTTGTCCCCCTGAAAAAATTGAACAATATTAATATTCATTAACACTTAGACTCACAGAGCAGTTGAAAGGTGCTTAGCTAGAATTTTCCACTTAGTAATTCTTTAGTATTTTGTTCATTTTTAAAAAAAAAAAAATCTAAATTTCATTGGTTTCAGCAGGGATTCTCAGCTGAAAGAGATTTCTCATTCCTGACTCCATGTATAAAATAGACTATTGCTTGACCACATTCTGTAATAAACCATTAAGGTTCTTGGCAAGTGTTAAAAAGGCAGCTCATAAGTACAAGATCAATTGTTACATCCAATCTATGAGTCAGATTCTGAACTAGAAGAGTAGGTTTGACATATTCTGAGCTTACAACTCAGGAGTCAGAGGGATCTCAGGTATCTGCTCAAAAAGAGCAGGACCTGTTGGAGGAAGAGCCTGCAGTTCTGAAGCAGTCAGGTAAGCTCTCACCTGACCTAAAGCCTGAGCTGAAAAAGTTCCATAACTCTTCTTCTACAAAAAGTATACTAGCTTGCTTGAATCGGGGCTACAGCAACACAGGCTTGGGAGTCAAATTTCTTCTAGCAAACCACTTTTTAACTTTGGATTTGACTTCCTGAAAGTATGGTGCTTCTGATTCCCTGACTGACTTCTGAAAGTACAAGACTCCACTCAGCTTTTATTCCTGCACCTTGGGTTTATCGGCACAGAATTTCCACTTCTAAAATAAAATTGTTTGTTTTTCCTCAGCTTTTTCATTCCTGCACTGCGGGTGAGATTTACAGCCACTATAAAGACCATTTTTTCTGACTTCTCGCAAATTGCTGGTTGAGAATCTAAACCGAATTACTACTTGCATGTAGAGATATATTATATTATATTATATATATGCTTTCTAAGGCCAGAAATGATATGAGGTATGTTTAAGCTGAATTTGAAGACTATCTTCCCATACTGATCATGTTATTTACAAGCTGAGTCCAATATAATGTATGGATAAAGTTATTGCTATTATAGAGTGGGTTCTCTCTCTAACCAAATACTCCATTTTGCATTAGCTGAGCACCTGTCACTTTGCAGTGTGTATGTGTATAAATGATTTAATAGTCTTAATAGCTTAATTATTAATAAAACATTACATGTTATTAATAAAGGCAGAGATCAACTCTAGGCTGGAGCCAATATGTACAGGTGGGCCTAGTCATGCTGTTTAGATGTCATTTTTACCACTAGTGTCCCACCAGAGCTCCTATGGCCTAGATTGCTCCATTTTGTAGCTGCTTTATCTCCTGTCACTATGTCCTCCTGAATATCTCCCAGGTTCAGTTAATATGATTAAGCCAACAGAACTATACATTTGGTTTCAATCACTCTGCTTTGCTCACAGTTCAACAGTTTTCCTTGCCCTAAGCTTAACATGGTGTGAAGTAAATCAGGTATCATTGAGATTATTGGCAGCTCCCTCCCTTCCATCCAGGACATAGCATATAAGCGTTGCTTGAACAGGGGCCGCAAGATTGTCTGGGACACTACATATCCACTTCACAACCTGTTTTCTTTGTTTCCTCCATAGGAGGAGGCTCCGTGGTATTCGAAGCAGAACATCCAGATTCAGTCACAGTTTTGTTCCATACTGTATTAACCTTGTGAACTCTAAAGCTTCCTCCTTCCGTTATGTATTAAAGATGGACAGCAATTAATATTTATGTTACTTATATGTAAGGGTGTAGGTCTATACATATGTTGTATATAGTATGTTTAAATATGTGTTGTGTATGTGTACACTTTGAGAACAAGCGACGAAATTTCATTTTTAATGTGTGCCATTGTGCCCACAGTAAAAAATGACAATAAAGGTTATCTATCTATAACCATAACACTGCTGCATAAAACAATATTTTAGGAAGTATTTTTATCTCACAAGCTTTCAGAAGCTATAAGCTGACGCCAACTTAATTCAGAAGAACAGTAGTACTAGGAATTAGACGTGTGTAGAGTTTCAAAGACGTGTGCCTCAAAGGTGCTTTTTTGAAAGATCTTCTTTCAAAGAGGTGTTTTTCCCTTTCCCCCCTTCTCCATTATATTTGTGTCTATATACATGCCATACGCTCTATGGGTCACTTTGGGTGAATCCTTCTCTCTCAACCCAACCCACCTTACAGGATGGTTATTGTGGGGAAAATAGGAGCAGGAAGGCGTATTAGTTATGTTCACTGCTTTGAAATATTTGTAAAAGTAATAAAGGCAAAATAAATAAATCTTTAAAAAAAACAAATGGTGAAAGAAAGGAAAGGAGAACAAGTTCCATTACAGAAACAGTGACTATTCAGGCAGTTTCCAAGCAACATCTAATCTTCAGAGGCATCCATGCCCTTTGCACCTTTTCCCCCCTTCCTTTATTTTCAGCAGCTGCTTCTCTTATTTCTTTCTTTCTTTCTTTCTTTATTTATTTATTTATTTATTTATTTATTATCTGTTAAAGTTATTTGCTGATAGCTAGTGCTATCTCACCATAGCACTAGCAGCTAGCAATAACACTCAGACTTATATACCCCCTCCCCAGTGCTTTGCAGTCCTTTCTGAGCGGTTTACAGAGTCAGCCTAGGGCCCCCAACAATCTGGGTCCTCATTTTACTGACCTCGGAAGGATGGAAGACTAAGTCAACCTTGAGCCAGCTGAGACTTCAACTGCTGAACTGCTGGCAGCCAGCAGTCAGCAGAAGTAGCCGGCAATACTGCATTCTAACCATTGCACCACCATCCTAGGCAGCTTACAGCAATAAAAAGGAAGAAATGAAAAAAGTGTAAAGAAAATAGAAGTAAAATAATAGAACAAAGTAAACAATGAAAATGAAAATGAGAACATCCGTATGATAACAAAAGATGGATAGGTGGAGAGCAGAGATCAAGGGGGAAGGTGGAGCCTGCCATCAATCCAGCAGCTACCTCCAGCATGGAATTCCCCCACTGGGTCTCCTTATCAGGAAGATGACCCACCCCCACCCCCCATTTGCAACCAATTGTAAGAAATAATTGCCCTTTGTGGTTATCAACATTCTGCATCATTCTGCATTACTTCACATTCTATTTTTTTAAAAAATGTACTAGATGGTTCCTTGTGTATAATTGAACAAAATGACGGTATATCCTCATTCTTCCTATTGTAGTGCATGTGTAAAGAAGTAAATGCTAACCTCACTAGCAAAATGATATTCTTTGTCAACAGTGAGAAACTTTGGTCTGCAGCTCAAACCAGTCTTTGATGAACCTTCAGTCACAACATTTCCGTAGAGGGGCTGAAGCCGGAGTGGCTGTTGTATGTTTCCTGGAGCAGTGCTTGGTCGAGGATAAGTAATCTGAACCATTAAAAGACACAGAGGTAAATACTTAAGTTAGGTTGAGTAAACTGGTACTCTGTAAGTTTTTAGTTACAACTCCAAATATCACCACTGGATTTGTAATCAAAAATACTGAGAGGACACCACACTGCCCCTCCCTAACTTAAGAACACGTACCTTATGCACATTTCTGAAAACGAAATTGTAATCTGTCTATATTTGGACTTTTTGTTTCAAAAGAGATAGATGGATAGATAAAGATTTTACAACTATATCAATTTATATCCCTTAAACTAAATTGTGCAAAAACTGAATTAAGTAAAATAAGCCAATACATATTTCATTCAAATAGGTACAGTAAATCCTTATGATCAGTGGCTTAATGACTATTCAAAGTTATGACAGATGTCCACGACAGCTACTTATGACCCTGTTTGAAAGTTATGACCTAGTTTGAAAGTTATGGCCGCTGCAAAGTTTCTGCAGTTGTTCACTCTTACAACAAACTGCAGGGATGCTGCAGTTTCCCCTCCACCCATTTGTCTCCCCCACCCATCCTGCTGGGTCCTCACAGGCCTCAGCCTGCTTTGCACCCAACCATTCAGACACCCAAGAGAGCCTAAAGCCAGGCAGCCAACACTACTGGTGAACAAGGGGCTCTGAGAGCTTGTAGGCCAAGGCCTGCTTCCCATTCAGCCCCTCCCCAGGGAGCCTAAAGCTTGGCAGTGAATGCTACTGGTGCATGTGAGGTTGTGAGAACTTATAAGCTAAGGCCTGCTTCGTAATCAGCCACCCAAGGGAGCCTAAAGCCAGGAGGCAGACATTCCCAGTGCAGGTGGGGTTATGAGAGTTTGTAGGCCGAGGCCATCTTCCCATTCGGCCACCCAGGCATTTGCAGGACTTGGCCTGCTCCTCAGCCAGCTCCAGGACCCAGTAGCACCAAGTTTACCTTTCTGCCTCTTGCAGAAACCTGCTTGGCCAATGCAAGACTCAGCATTCCTATAGAGCAGTGGTTCTCAACCTGTGGGTCGGGACCCCATTTGGGGTCAAACGACCATTTCACGGGGGTCTCCAAACAAGGCTGTCCACCATTTTTCCCCCTTTTCTTTGGCCACACCGTTGGCACCCGGTGATGTATAAGTGGTTGGGGGTCACCACAACATGGGGAACTGTATTATGGGGTCGCAGCATTAGAAAGGTTGAGAACCACTGCTATAGTGATTGCCTGCCTTGTGGCAACCTCATGCTATACTACAAGCAAATGTTATTCTCATGAGCCTGTAGGGGACTCTTGTTTTTTTTAAAGAGTCTTCATTTGTTTGTAGAGTTTGTGGATGGAGGGTAGGGATCATGAAGCAAGGCCATCTCACTTAACAACTGTCACCACTTGTGACCATAATGGCCATTATGGTTGTAAGTCAAGGACTACCTGTATTCAAAAATAGCTATATTCTAACAGATATATATTTAAAATGGTCACATTAAGTAGAAGATAACATTAGCATAAGACAGTGCTCATGAAATTAAGCAGGGATTTCCACAACAGAGTTTCTTTATATCCTAAAACGGGTCTTCAAACTTGGCCCTTTTATGACTTGTGGATTTCAACTCCCAGAATTCCTCAGCCAGGCATGCTGGCTGAGGAATTCTGGGAGTTGAAGTCCACAAGTCATAAAAGAGCAAAGTTTAAAGACCCCTGTCCTAAAAGATCAATTGGGTGTATACACTTGGAAACATGAAAAAGTTACATGAACTGTAAGCGAACTAGCATGATATAAAAACTTTTTTCTAAATGTTGGAACTGCTTCTTTTGGTCTAGGCAATCATGTTTTAAATGTGATTTTTTTTTATATAAAAAGGAATACCTCATACATATTTTAAGCCAACCAGTGCCATTCTAGAATTGGGTAGCCTAAACAAATTACATAAATAAAGAAGTAAAACCTGTAACATTGACTTTGAGTAGCCAAATCTCCATATTCGTGCATCGAAACACATAAAATGATTCTAAATACTTCAGTCTTTAAACAAGCCATAGCTTGCTAAGTTCTTACAAGGATAAAATAAGTACATATGGCCCAATTGTGCCACTAAATCTCCAGCACTTTTTTTTTACCAATTCAGTCTAATGAAAGAGAATTTGTTTTACAAAACCATTTCAAACTGGAAGAGAGAGTCAAAAAAATTCTCTTGATTAAATGGATGGCAGACTTGTTTAGTTTCCAGTTAGTTCAGGACTATTTGTGAATATCTTACCTCCACTGTTCAAATATTTTTTCAAAGGAACCACAGCCTTCTTGACTGGCCATACTTCATTAAAATCCCATCTCTCCATCTATAAATTTGGTGGAGATCTGCAAATGTCATTTACAACCACAGCCATGTATGGCACCTTGACATCCTTTGGATTAAAAGGGAATAAACATTTTAAGATAGTTCCCAGTGCTGCAAATTTGCATGATGTCACTTTGATTCCATTAAACCAGGGCTCCAGCTCCAGGAATCTATATATAAAAAAAATTGAAACAGGACTATTGTTTATCCTACAGAGAGTCACTAGAGACTCACCGTGTGACTTGATGGTCCTCTCTCACCCAACTTGCGCCGCCCAAAGCGATTTCTTGGTACAGTGGGTGGATGTGGGGAAAGCAAATGATGGGAACCATCTGCTGCCTTTCTCGTTCGGTCCGCCTAAATGAAGGAGAAATGACAGACTTGACATTACATATACAAGTATGTTACCTTATGGTGGGCAGCCTCCTTCTCCATGTCTTTCAGCCATCCCAGGTGAATCCAACCAGAAATATGCCTAGGTGAACTAATTATGCTTAACTAGTTCACTATCTTAAAAGAATCTTGCAAGTCTAAAAGTACAAATTTACCACCACCACTTTTAACTACTTGATCCATTAGGGTGAGTCCTCCCTAATTTTCTTTCTCCATCCATTAAGCCACTGACGACTCCTGCCTCTCATGGGATGGTTTCCTAGGCAGCATCTCTTCCCCTCATTCCCCAAGGTCATCCATACATTCCATTACAATGTCATGCTGGTGACATATGTGCAGAGATGGTTTCCATTTTTACAGCCTGTGGTTTCTAGCAAGGACTTAATTCTATATATAAGCGATCCCATGTGAGACAGTCAGGCTCCTGTAGACTCGTGTAAAGGCAATTCTCTGTGAAGTTAATGTGGCTACTGCAGAGAGCTGTACTGTAAGCATATGGCTAAGGAAGGGGAGGGCCTGCTTACTCCTCATGCAGCATCAGTTTGAACATGGAATAGTAATGCCTGAACATAGCTTGAGATACCTGAGTAAACAACATTGTTAGAAAATAATGCTCTTTGGCAAAGCTCTTTGTAAATAAGACTTCTACCCAGGAATTCAGCCAATATCTTCAAATCCCTGGAGAGAATCAAGGCCCACACCTGAACCTTCAAATATTAGTAAATTTGCTTTTGTTTTGTTTTGTTCTTCCTTTGAGTCAGTTATAACTCCTGGGGACTGCAGTCTGTGCAGTTTCCTTGGATATATTTGTGGTCTGTCATTGCCCTCTTTCTAGGGCCAAGAAAGTATGACCAGTCCAAAGTCACCCAGCTGGCCTCATGTCAAAGGGATGCCTAAAACTCACCATCTCCTGGTTCCTAGCCTGGTCTTCAACCATGTATCAAACAGGCTCTCAAATTGGCTTTTCTATTTATATAAAAGTAATTATGTCTCCCTGTGAGAAAATTATTAGGAAACAGTAGCAGAATGTAACCAAATACCCATCATGAATAGAATAAAAAACATTCTAATTGCTAGACATAGGAAAAAGGAATAGCTCATAAAATCAAGACAAAATCTAGGGCCACTAGATTTATGCTGCAAAAAACCAGGGTAGCCAGGGAATTCATAAACTCTCTTTTGATGCTGTCTAGCAATTATTGAGACTTTTGCAATCCAGAATTGATCACCCTAAGCAAACATGTATCTCTAAGTCTTATCAATGGCAATCAACTCTAGTGCTGGAAGAAATCAGGGATTCTTTTCAAAAAGAAAAAAATCATTACCTTGGTTCGCTGGATCCGCTCCCGCCTTGCCGAACTCTCAAGTTTTCTTTTTATGTCACCCTGGTGATGTCGCTAATAGGGCCATTTAAAAAAAATAAAAAGTAAAGGCAAAATCACATTTCAGATTTACCATATGGTTACATCATTCCTAGAGCACATAACACTACTCTGGGTTGTTACACCTTTTCTCTTTCCTCCCAATCTTAAGTTATGTTTTTTTTTCTTTCCTCTTCATAATCTCTTTTGGATAGTAGGATTGAGATTCTTTCTGGTTTTTATACATTGCTCAGCTGGCCTTTTGGGGGAATGAAGAGCATGACTTCTTAAAATATAAATAGAAAACAAAGTCTCCCATCCAAATGGTTGGTCAAATTTATTGTGTAAGCAAGGCTCATATCAAAGAGCAAGTGAGTGAATGTCAAGTGATTAAAGACATGAGTTTTATTCAAATAGCTATTAGTAAAACATGGCCAATAAGTGCTGCATAGGCTTCGAATCCTCCTACATCCAAGCAACCTGTTCCCTTTCTTTTTCTTCCTTCTGTCTTTTCAAACCACATCTCCCAGCAAGCAACACTCCCAGCCTAGTTGATAATGATGATTTATATCCCTTTTAAGAACACAAGTAGTACTTGAGAACAAAACAGAAGAGATGGGATGGGAAAATTATATAATGCTTTAGCTATCTATAGAATATTATAATTCTCAGCGCGCATGCAGAGGCAAAATAGGGTGTCTATTTTGATAACATTTTGTCCCATTTTCTGCAATGCATCACAATAATTAGGGATGGAATGGAAGGGAAAAGAAGCAGCAATTCCCAAGCACACCAAACATTTCACCGCCGCAATGCATAGTGGTCACGTCACGTAATTAAGCACTGCAGTTTTACCACTCAATAATGAAGTAATTTTCTATGATGAATACGGTGAACAAAGCTATCATCCATACCGCAGTAAGTGGAGAGGGCTGTTTAAGTATTGAAAATTTATCTGGACAGGTAAAAGCATTTTCCCGATGTTTCTTAAAGCTGCTCTTAAAAATGGAGCATGCCTGGTTTCCTTTGCAAGGAAGAATAACAAGACACTCTATACCTAATGAGCTCTTGTGAAAATGTCTTTTAAATGTAGACAGCAGGTGTTGGGTATGGAGTGTCATGTCTAACTTAATCCTGAGAGACAACCATTTTCGCCGTTTTTTTAGGTAATAGGCAATAAGCTCATATGTGTAAATCCCTTGGAGATTTGGATCTAGTAAGACTTCTGTGAATTTTATAACTGAAGACTGAGATCCTCAAAAATCTTTGGGAAAAAAGTACCCAGCAATTTGAAAATCATTATTTTAATATATGGCCAACTGTTCCTAGGGCTGAATCCTTTAACAAAAATGTTGGTATCTCCTACATTCAGCACATAATACTTGCATATTAATAATAATAACAACAACAACAATAATAATAACAACTATTATGGATCATCGCACAATCAGCCAGATGTCCAGACTGGATTTGGCATTTTGTCTACCTATCGAGTCCTTACCCAGGACCTGGGATAGGCAGATGTGGATGTTTGATGGTATTACAGATATCGTCGCAGGATGGAAGCAGTTCCTAGTAAGGCCGCCTTTTGCAATTGACTAATAGCGAATTTGTCAATGCCAATGGTGTTCAAGTGGTGCTCCAGTTGTTTTGGGATTGCACCCAAGGAGCCTATGACTATTGGTACTACCCTTGCTTGCTTTTGCCACAGTCTTTCTATTTCTATTTGTAGGTCTTTGTATTTTGTTATCTTCTCCAGTTCTTTCTCGTCTATTCTGCTGTCTCCAGGCACTGCCACGTCCACTATCCAGACTTTTTTGTCTTTCTTATCGACAATTGTTAAGTCTGGGGTGTTATGTTGCAGTGCTTGTCTGTTTGAATTCTGAAGTCACAGAGCAGTTTAATTTTATCATTTTCTATGACTTTCTCTATTTTATGATCCCACCAGTTTTTGCTTACAGGCAAATGATATTTTTTGCAGATCTTCCAATGCACCATTGTTGCTACTTTGTCATGCCGCTGCTTGTAGTCAGTCTGTGCAATTTTCTTGCAACAGCTTACCAGGTGGTCCACTGTTTCTTCAGCTTCTTTGCATAGGCGGCACTTACTGTCTGTTGCTGTCTTCTCAATTTTGACTTTATATGCATTTGTCCTTAAGGCTTGGTCTTGTGCAGTCAGAATTAGTCCCTTGGTCTCTTTCTTCAATTTTCCTGCTCTTAGCCATGGCAGGTCTTGTTATTATCTGCTTTCCCAGCTATTTTTTTAACGTATTGGCCATGTAGTGCTTTGTCTTCCTATGCCTCTATTCTGTTCTTCATTTGGTCTTTCTTGTAGGCCAATTTGGTCTCTCCAGTAGTCAGTAAGCCTTCCTGATATACTAATTTCAGTGTATCTTCATCATTGTTCTTCAGATATTCTTCAAAAGCCATTTTTTCTTCTTCAACCATCTGATGTATTATTATTATTATTATTATTATTATTATTAAAAGCTGGAAGGGACCTTGGAGGTCATCTATTCCAACCCCCTGCTCAGGCAGGAAATCCTATACCATTTCAGACAAATGGCTGTCCAGTCTCTTCTTAAAAGCTTCCAGTATTGGAGCATTCATAATAGGAGTATTAAAAACCTAGCTGCATTCAAATGAACTGCTAAGGGTGGGTTATTGTAATATGCACTTTTGCCCTATTGTGGCCTCACAGAATAGTGTCTTCAAAGAGAAGCAGGGGCAAGACAAGAATAAAAAGTCAGGGAGACCAGTCTTGAAGATTCAATTTCTAGCTCTGATGTCTTGAAAGAATTACTGTCTACCATTCTAGCAAAAATCCATACAACCACTAGATGGCAGCAAAGGCACAGATCCTCATAACATTTTGGTGCCATCTAGGGAGTTATCTAGATTTTTGCAGTTGTCAGAATTCTGACACAGTGCTTTTGAAATGTCTTAATTTTACTATATTTCTGAAATATTTTACCTTAATACTGAATAAGACGTTGCTTAGTCTCTTGTCTATCAAGGGATCTAAGTATTAGAGCTAGATTTTGTTCCAGGACTCTTTGCTACCTGGGATAGGACACTTGTCACTGCTGGCTCCTTCTCTCATTTCTAGCTAATTTAGGGCTTGTTTTGTTCCCTGCATGGTACTTTGAAGACTAACAAACTGAAAATAAAACATGGCTTCTCTCCTTTTACATGTTCCCATGAACACTTACAGAATATACAATAAGACCCAAACAAGCTGTACTGTTCAGGAGAAAAATGCAATAATCTTAAGTAGACCTGTTCAACTATATTTGTAAGCTTATTGTGTTGTGAAGCCACGTCCATCAAATCTAAATCTTGAATGTGAAATCACAAGCTGGCAATATGGATATATTGGCACATGGACTTTCCTAAACATGGAATCTTTCCTCTTTGCTTTATACCTACAAAGTAATTAGGTTTGAAAAGGTCTTCCATTTATGAATTATTTTTAGCTTATGTACTGTAATCACATAAAATGCCCCAGGCACAACAAGAAAATCCCATAGAAGTGTCTGCCTCATGAAAGAAGAAAGATCTGTCTGTAAGAAGGAATAGGCAAGTGTTGCCATATATTGTGTATGGTGTATGGATGGGTCCATAATATAGGTGTGTATTTTTGAACAAAGGATGGAAAGAACGTGAGCTGGTGGCCCTGATGCAGCCTAGTAACATCAGTTTTTTTCAACCACAGAAAGGAAAATTCATCAGTGGGACATTTGTTAAGGATTTTTAAAATAAATAAATGACTGTCATGGAAAAACAACAAAAAGGTACTGTGTATGCCCAACGTAGTTCATAAACAAGTAAAATTCTCTGATATATGAGATTATCAAAATCTTTATGTGGTAGCCATACATTTTCGCTACCACTTCTCATGTTGGAACAAGCTTAATTTACATTCAACATATATACTAGTATTTATTTAACAAATATCTCCAACTTGGTGCCCTCCAGATGTTATGGATTAAACTTCTATACTGGCTGGGCTGTAATGGAGATGTAATCTATTATATCTGAAGGTCCCAGACTATAATGAGCCACTATTTTTCATTCCAGCAGAAAATTCAGAAAGAAGAATCCTCATTAAAAGCCACATGAGATCTCTTATCTCCTTCCCAAAGGGCCATTGCCCCTTCATTTCCTTTTCACAGACCCTGTTTAGATTTTTCTTTTTACCCCAAAGCTTTCCTCACTATCCTTATCTATTCAATTTTCTTGTTATCACAGAAAGGAAATGGGAAGAAGGGAATATAAAATTTCTATTATACTCCAAACCAAGTCATAGGTTTCCGCTGCCATCTTTTGTCTTCCAATGCAGATTTCGGTGTGTTTATGTATAGGAGGAAGGGTAATGGAAGTCCACAACAAAACTCTCTTTGGGAATTCCATTGGCAAACTGTTGAGAGCTACTGGCTTAGATGATCCATAAGACTTCTTCAAAGATTTTGGCCGTGCAGGGTGTTTCTGATGTTACCAGATGTTTGATCAGCCGGGGAGGGGGAAGTGATAGTCACTACTAAATAATCTCCATGTTTGTGCAAGTATGTATGTATATGCACATCAGACTTAGGTGGTACCTCCTTAGAATTCTAAGGTTCTAAGACAGTTGGTCTCAACTGCTGTTTTCTGTTTGTCAGGCAAGTAGCACATAGGATTCTCAACTTTGCCAAGAACCTGTATAAAATGAATGCTGACTTCTTAGCAAGGCTCAGAGTCCTAAAGTTCTTTAGGGGGGCTACTCCTGAACCATATATCTGAGTTATAGGTGAAATCATGGGAAACAGTAGCATCACAAAGGAAGTCAGAAGGTAGAAACAACTGATAGCTGGAACCAAGCTAGGATGAGGCCTACCTCCAGCCACGTTTCCACTTTTTGTGTGAATGAAATAGCGTCTCCTCCTTCCTGTCCTTTCTCACTCTTTATATCTATGCTTTTGTTTGTTCTTGCCAATTTCCCATGACCTTTGGTGTTCACATGGGTAGAAGTAAGCATTTTTCTGATGGACTGTGACCAGTTCTTGAGTACACAGATGGGACATGACCTCCTGTTGTCTTTCCCACAGGAGATGACTGTGTGGAATCTAGTGACTAAGGGCTACTTACATTCTGAGGTCTGGCCAGTAAACTGGCCAATTACAAGTCTCTTTGCTTCTTTTGACAACTAATTTATCTCTCACCTAAAGCATTCTCTTAGAATTGATACTACATTAATAAATCTAGAATAAATGAAACTACTAATTTTCCATAATCATAATTACTAACACATGTTAGAACTACAGACATTCCTTAGGTTAGCGAATCAATACAGATTTTTTGGGAAACAAAAATTAAGCCTTATAAATGTTCTGGGAGTTAACATCAGGATTTGCACCAACTGAACATAATTTTCCAGATGCTCAATCCTTTACTCAGGAGTTGATTTATCTTGCAGAAGTATTTCTCGATTAGAAACTTGATTGCAGATAAGAATGAAGCCTCTACCCAAACAATTGATTGCCTAGAGCAGAACAAGGGATTCAAAGCTTGAAATATCTATGACCCAATGTTTAAAAGCCCAGCTTCATCACCAGCACCATCTTTCTAAACTAGGCTAGTCTCTTGATAGCCTTGGCTCCTGGGATATAGTTTCATAAGGGTTCTCTCTAGCTTAGGAATTGATGGTTTCTGCCTTGCTGGTTTCACCACGTACAAATAGGACAATTCTTCTGTTCTAATGTATGTTAGAGTTTTCTTGCAATTCAGCATCATTACTAACCCATAATAACTGTCAAACATGTGAAAATGGGTCATTATAATACACTGATGGTTACTAATCAGTGGTGTAGATCTTCCACCAGTCGAAGCATATTTAATGACATTTCCACCTATAGATATTGTCAGAAATCCTGAATATGACTATGACTTTTATGAAGAGTAGCCATAATATAACCATACTTCCATATCAAGAGCTTTGTGGAAAATAGCCTGAGCCAAGCATTCCCGTATATACTTCTGATGATCCTTCTTCATGGCATTTAACCGGTATTCCTTGTCTGATATTATTCTTCCACTTCTTGAGATCTGCCATGAAGAAAACAAAATATGCAGGCAGTGTGTGTTAGGGAAAGAGGATATAAGACTTGTACAGCTTCTCACCATAAACTAAAATATTTTCATCATAATCTTAATCTTCTCTGAGGACATGGAGATTAAGATAAGCACAGATTGCTCTATTCTCTCCAGCAAAAATGTGATGATCTACATAACCAAGATCTTGTTATATATGTACCAGAGAGACAGGCTAGGTTCTTCTGCCATAAAGTTTGTATTTTAATCAAACCAGAATTCAAAAGGGAAAAAAGACAATAGTATTTTTCTTCTCTTTTAGAAAAAAAAGTCATCAATGAGGAAAGGCTTTGCATATTAACTAAAAAAACAAATCTCATTGTGATCACTGGGGCTTACCTTCAGTGAATACGTATAGCAGTGGTGGCGAATTTATGGCACAAGTGCCAGAGGCGGCACTTGGAGCCCTCTCTGTGGGCACATGTGCCATTGCCCCAGCCCCGCCTCCCCCGCGGCCCCCTCCACACCAGCAGCCCCCCTGGAAGAGAGTCACCCCCAGGCACGGCCCGCCTGGAGCAGCGCAGCCAAAGACATGGCAGCTGGGCAGTGGGGACAAGATTGTGCCCTTGCGCCCCATCGCAAAAAGTTGATGCTGTGGGGCACAGGTGGAGAGCGTGGCCACCATGGCGCTGCTGGGCCACCTGGGCGATCTGCGGCGGGCTGTGGAGGTGGTGCATGGCCCTGCGGATGGGTGGAGGCGGTGCAGGGGTGGGGCGGTGCAGGGGTGGGGAAGTTTTTAGGTACTCGATCTCTAAAAGGTTTGCCATCACGGACATATAAGCTTGTAACTACCAAAGCTAATGAAGGGGTACAGAACTCACGTAGAAATCCACCTTTTTTCTGTGATTCTATTTTCTATCCATTACAGCAGGAGTTTCCAAAGTTAGCAACTTTAAGACTTGTAGACTTCAACTCCCAGAATTCCTCAGTTAGTTATGCTGGTTGGGAATTCTGGGAGTTAAAATCCACAAGTCTTAAAGTTGCCATGTTTGGAGAGCCCTGCATTACAGCAAGGATGGACATTTTTTTTCCCATCACAGGCCACATGTATACCCACAGGGATGAACTAATAGGTTGTTTAATGGCAATGCTGATGCATGTAGCGGCTATGAATTCCCTTCCTCTTTCCAATACCCTCCTTTTCTTTTCCCAGGTCCACAGTATAGGGAGTTGAACTGGCTTTCTGGATTTAATAGCAATAATACGTAGGCTTATATACCAGTTAACAATGCTTTACAGCCTTCTCTAAGCAGTTTATAGAGTCAGCATATTGCCCTTAACAATCTGGATCCTCATTTTACTTACCTTGGAAGGATGGAAGGGTGAGTCAACCTTGAGCCGGTCAGGATCGAACTACTGGCAATCAGCAGAATTAGTCTGCAATACGGCATTCTAACCACTGTGCCATCATGATTCAGTGGTTAACATGAGCCCATGAAGCCTTTGTGAACCACACACTTCTTATAACTATGTTATATTATAAGTAGAAGGATGATTTTGAAATCCAAATGCTGAATTGCTGGAGTTTAATTTTGGTATCCTTTTTAAAATACACATCCCTTCAAGCATTGAAGAGTAGCCTTCCAATTATCAACTGGAAACATGCCCTGACATAGCAGATTTATGAAGCCACTCAAGAACAAATCATGCCTGAAAAAAGTATGGAACAGCAGCCTGGTAAGAAATAGCTTAATATTAAGCTTTCTAGTTGGTGCCATTCATGGGTAGAAATGATTTAATATAACTATGCTAAAAGCCCAAGCTTTGTGCCAAGATAGCAAGTCTACATAGAACCTAATCAATCCATGTCACCAAAAGGTCTCCCATAGCATTAAAGTAGGTTGCTGCTGTATTATTGATAGTGAGCCAGGTTTATTAAGATGGAACAAAGCTTTAAATTCCATTAATACTTCTTCATCAGTCATTTTCAGTGTGTTAGACATCTTGAGCATAGAAGAGGCTTATTTAGCTTCAAATGTCACTTGAAAATGTGAAGTGGCTCATTTGGTGGGATGAGTCTCCTCTAAATGGCTTCTATTTGAATGCTTTTTGACCAAGCAGTCTACTGTTCTATATTACTGAGATTATCTATTGGATTCTCATGTTATCCTTTTTCCTGCTTCCTATACAACCAACACACACACAAAATTCCTTTGTTGTTTTAATACTAGAAAACTGCCCCCCTCCTTTGAAACTTAAGATTGCCCGCGTCTCTTATCTAAAGCACTTCAGTATGAAACATATAATCTGAGTATCTGCATGGAGATCCCACTAGATTAAATACAACCCCAGGCACATATACTAAATAGCAAATATCATTCAACTCTGCAGGATATGCTTCTAAGTAAATATCCATCTTAGATGTCTGTCAATACACCACACGATGCCTGAGTTGGTAGGATATAAGCAGCAGTATCTTGGCTTGCAGAGTACCTCTAGGTTTTAGATCCTAGCTTGTACAAAACAGAGTGAGCATACATGGAATAAACCTAGGCTTTGGTTACATTTTATACTAACCAATGCTGTAGAAGGCACAGGGCCAATTAAAACTGGTAACTTATAAAGAAAATTACTAAAAGCATTATGTGATATTTTAAATTGACCAAAACTATGAAGTGGAAGTCAATAATTATGAGCCTACTTGGTGACAAGAAGGCTGAAAGTTAGAATTTAAGAGAGTAAATGTTAATGAGCATGAATGAATGAATAAAATTAGAGAACAATCAGAATTCCTATATTGATGGCAGTTGCATACTACATTCCAGACAGCGGCATCTTCAGGGAAAACAAGGAGGGTCAGATTAAGGAAAGAAGCATTGTGGCACTTATAGTGCATGACCTAGTCTTTTTCTATATTCATCAAAATATTTGATGCCCAAAGGGGCAGAGTTTATAGCACAAGCTAAACTAATACAGATTTCACCTACTCCAGTAAATGGATTGAATAGAAGAGCCAAATATGAGCTTTTGGGAGAACACTATGCAACCTTTTGAATTAATGCAATCCAGAAAGAAAAAAAAATATTCTGCTAAGTGAAGTGAATGGATGATGGCAACTGGATAAGAGATTACAGAAGTGATTCAGTGACCAAGAATGAAGACTGTTTAGTGAGCATCTGCATTGGAAATTATACATTTCTTTCAAACAGCTGTTAGCAGACTCTGTTTGTGTATATACATGGCAAAAGAATTAATATATCTAAAACATGACTGATTTCCTTATTTATAATGAAAGCCTGAGAGAATTATTGAAGACTAGAAGGTGCTAGAAGGTTCTAAATGTGGGGCAAGCACTGTTTGCTAGTTTTAAAAGTAAAAGTAAACTGACTGCAGAAAGATTAAATCAATTAAATTGAATTGAAATTGAACATGGCCATAAAAGAAATAGTACTAGTGTATTAAATATACTGTATGTAGAATAGTTTTGATCATGTTAGAATGATGAGACTTGGTGACGCAGTGGTTCAAATGCAATGCTGCAGGCTAACTCACTGCTCACTCAAGGAGTTCAGCTCAAGGTTGACTCAGTCTTCTATCCTCTGAGGTTGGTAAAGTGAGGACCCAGATTGCTGGGGGCAATATGCTGACTCTGTAAACCATCTAGAGAGGGCTGGGAAGCACTGTGAAGTAGTATATAAGTCTAAGCCCTATTGCTATTGCTTGCGGACATGAATGTACATGGAAGACCAGAGTACAAATAGTCCTCAGCTTATGCTCAGTCACTAAGTCACTGTTCAAAGTTATGACGGACTCCACACACAAACACAAAAAAATACTTATGACCTGGTTCCAAAGTTCTGATAGCTGGGCCTCCCCTACAGCCATTTGAAGTGTCCCACAGTCACATGATCACAATTTACAATGAGTTTGCTAAAAAAAAACCCTTCAAGTTTTTGGCAACCGCACCACAAAGCAAACATTACTCACTTTATTGCTGTCATGACTTATGGCCATAATGGGCAGACTCCATTACGGTCATAAGTTGAGGACTACCTATATTTGTAATTCAGACAGTACATGAAGGAAATGATTGCAACTTTTAGCTAAATAAAAACAAAAAAGTGTAGCATAGTCGAACTAATGATGGAAAAATACACGGACAAATTTGAACAGGTCTCTATATGAAGAAATGGATGAAGAAATGTGATAAAATGAATAAGCTTTAGTGAAATGAAATGCTTTGCAAATAAAATTAGACGTTGAATTTGATAAAAAGCAGATACAATGTAAGTAGGGAAAACTTGAAAAAAAGTTAAATGCTTGCAAGTACTTCAACACTGAAAGAGAGTGAGACAAGTTCATTTGATTTTTTTAATGCACTAATCAATAAATTAAAAGGAATATAAGTAGTGATGATACAGGGAAATTGATCAGGGAAATACATGTGTATATACTTTTCTTTTTTAATAGTAATTTTATTAAATATTACAATTTTTTTAAAAAAGCTAATACAAAGTAAAATATAAAAGAAAGAAGAAAAAATGCAGAAAAGAAGAACAGGAAAAAAATAATACAGTAAATAAAAAGCTAAGAAATATATATGTTTCATCACAACAAGTATAATCCATTTAAGTAACTTATCCCCTCCTCTAAAACTACAACCAATGATCTCTTATTCCCATATCTCATCTCTTATCTATAAATGAATCCTTAAATTCCTGTTGTTCAGTCCTGGTCAGCAGAAACTCATTAAGGATTGTCAAAGATAACATCATATCTATTTTAACCTGAGAAGATGGACAG